CCCAAATCCAGAACTGGGGGTGTCACAGGGACCCCCCTGGGGAGTTTGGGGGTTCAGTGGTTGGGGGATGGATTTTGGGGGGTTGGGGCAGTTCAGGGTCGGGGGTTGTTTGGGGGTGGATTTAGGGGGTGGATTTTGGGGGTGGATTTTGGGGATGGATTTTGGGGATGGATTTTGGGGATGGATTTTGGGGGTGGATTTTGGGGCAGTTCAGGGGTCGGGGGGTTGTTTGGGGGTGGATTTTGGGGGTGGATTTGGGGGTGGATTTTGGGGATGGATTTGGGGATGGATTTTGGGGCAGTTCAGGGGTCGGGGGTTGTTTGGGGGTGGATTTTGGGGATGGATTTTGGGGGTGGATTTCTGGGGGTGGATTTTTGGGGGTGGATTTTGGGGGTGGATTTTGGGGCAGTTCAGGGGTCAGGGGGTTGTTTTGGGGGTGGATTTTGGGGGTTTGGGGCCGGATTCGGGGCCGTGTCCCACTCCAACCCCGAAACTCCCGATTCCCCAGGACTCCTAAACCCCCCAAGGCCCCCAGACCTCGAGGAAGGCGAGTTCTTGTCCTGGTTGATCTGCACGGCCAGGACGGGGTTCCCGGGGGCCTGGGTGAGGCCCCCCAGGCGCATCTGGGCGTTGAAGAAATCCATCATCGCCTCCTGGGGGGGCAAAGCGGCGTCAGAGGGGGGGGATCGACCCTCCAAGACCCATCGGGGAGGGGGCAAGGGGGGGAAAAAGAGAGAGACAAAAGAGGAATAGAAAAGAAAAACAAGCGGAAATAAGAAAAGAAAAAAAAAAGAATAAAAGAAGAAAAAAAAATAAAAGTAAAAAAAAGGGAAAAATAAAAAAATAAAGGAGTAAAAGAAAGGAAATAAAAAAAGAGAAAAACAAAGAAAAGAAGTGGAAAAAAATTAAAAAGGAAGACAGACATAAAAAGGATAAAAAAAAAAAAAAGCTGCAAGAAAATGCAATAGAAAAGAGAAAGAAAGAGGAAAAAAGTGGAGAAAAAAAAAAAAGGCAAAACCAGTAAAAAAACCCCAAATAACACTCCCCAGAGCCCCCAGAGCTCGGGTGATGCCAAAGGGATGTTGCCCATGTAGGAACCCCTCAGCTCCCCAAAACCCCCCAACTCCCATAATACCTCTAATAACCCTCAAAAACCCCAATAAGCCCCCAGAGCCCCCAGACCTCAGTGATGCCGAAGGGGATGTTGCCACATAGACCCCCTCAGCTCCCCAAAACCCCCAAAACCCCCTTAATAAACCCCCAGAGCCCCCAGAGCCCCCAGAGCCCCCAGACCTCGGTGATGCCGAGAGGATGTTGCCCACATAGACCCCCTCAGCTCCCCAAAACCCCCAAAACCCCTTAAACTCCCCCAAAGCCCCCAGAGCCCCCAGACCTCGGTGATGCCGAAGGGATGTTGCCCACGTAGAGCCCCTCTCAGCTCCCAAAACCCCCAAAAAACCCCCAGAGCCCCCCAGAGCCCCCAGACCTCGGTGATGCCGAGAGGATGTTGCCCACGTAGAGCCTCCCTGGCCTGCCGGGTCATCTGGCTGCCCACCACGGGCACAGGCGTGGGGTCACGGCCAGCCCGTCAGGGGTCATGGTGGGCAGCAGGGCCGTGGCCGGGATCTGCCCACGGCTGGGGGCACAGGGGTTTAGGGGTTTAGAGGGGTTTGGGAGCCCTAGAGGTGCTTGGGGGCCATGGTGGGCAACGGAGCTCCTACGCTGGGCACAGGGGTTTAGAGGGGGGGGTGTCTGAAGAGTGGTGGGCAGCAGGGCCGTGGCCGGGATCTACCCGGCTGGGGGGGCACAGGGGTTAGGGTTTAGAGGGGTTTGAGGGGGTCCTAGGAGTGTTTGGGGGTCATGGTGGGCAGCAGGGCCGTGGCCGGGATCTGCCCACGGTTGGAGGGGCACAGGGGGTCAGGAGGAATTTGGGAGTTTGGGGGGTCCTAGGGGGTGTTTGGGGGTCATGGTGGGCAGCAGGGCCGTGGCGGGATCTGCCTGCGGCTGGGGGGGCACAGGGGTCAGGGGTGGATCTGGGGGTCCCAGGGGGTTTGGGGAGGTCTATAGGGGTGTTTGGGGGTCCCAGGGTGGATTGGGGGTCACTGGGGGTTTTGGGGGTCTCTGGGGTCCCACCTTGCATGGCTTTGTACTGCATGGGGGTGATGTGCTCGAAGCCGGGGGGCACAGGGGGTTGGGGGCACACAGGGGGTTTGGGGGTCTCTGGGGTTTGGGGGTCCCTGAGGGGTCTCTGGGGGTCCCACCTTGCATGGCTTTGTACTGCATGGAGGTGATGTGCTCGAAGCCGGGGGGAGGGCACAGGGAGGTTGGGGGCACAGGGGGTTGGGGGTCTCTGGGGTTTTTGGGGTCCCAGGGGGTTTGGGGTCCCAGGGTGGATTGGGGGTCCCAGGGGGTTTTGGGGGTCCCTGGGGTTTTGGGGTCCCACCTTGCATGGCTTTGTACTGCATGGGGGTGATGTGCTCGAGCCAGGGGGGCACAGGGGGTTGGGGGCACAGGGTGAATTGGGGGGGTCCCAGGGGGTTCTGGGGGTCCCAGGAGTCTCTGGGGTCCCACCTTGCATGGCTTTGTACTGCATGGGGGTGATGTGCTCCGAAGCCGGGGGCACGTCCCAGTACTTACGGATCTTCTTCTTCTTCTCGTGGCGGGGGAGCGGCTGGGGGGTCACAGGGGGTGTTTGGGGGCTCTGCACCTCAGCCCAAACCCTACTAGACCCCCCAGACTCACCTCAGGGGCCTGAAAGGCTCAGGGCGACCTGTGGGGAGGGGAGCCCGTTAGTGGGGAAGAGAGGGAACAGGACCCCACCCCAAATTGGGGTGGTCCCTCCCTGTCCTGAGGGCCTGGGGGTCCCAGGGATTGCCCCCCCCCATCCAGGGGGTCCTGGGATCAGTCCCAGTGTCCCCAGTGTGTCCCTGCCCATCCCAGTGAATCCCAGTGTACCCCATTCCCTGTCCCTCTCCACTCCCAGTACATCCCAGTGCTCCCAGTACCGGCTCCATCAACACTCCCGGGACACGCTGGGGTGCATCCCCCCCCTCCCAGTACATCCCAGTGCTCCCAGTACCGGTTCCATCAGCAGTCCTGGGACACGTTGGGGTGCATCACCCCCCCTCCCAGTCTATCCCAGCGCTCCCAGTATGTCCCAGTACCGGCGCCGCCGGCGGTCGCGGGACACGCTGCGCTGGTCGCGGTTCCGCCGGTCCCGGGAGCGGCTCCTTCGTTTCCTGTCGCGGCTCCGGGAGCGGCTGTGGGAGCGTTTGCGGTGCCGGTTCTCCTTGTCCCGCTCTGGCAGAGGGGAATGGGGGGGTCAGAAACCCCCAAAACACCCCCAAAATCCCCCCGAAGAGCCCCCCAAATCCCCCGAACAGCCCCCAAATCCCCCGAACAGCCCCCAAAATGCTGCCCCCAAACCCCCAAAGAGCCGCCCCTAAACCCCCAAATCCCCCGGGTTCTCGACCCGCTCTGGGAGAGGAGAGAATGGAGGGGTCAGAAACCCCCGAACACCCCCAAAATGCTGTCCCTAAACCCCTCCCCCAAACCCCCAAATCCCCTGGGTTCTCCTCGTCCCGCTCTGGGGAGAGGGGTGTTAAAACGTGGGGTCGGGGAGCCCCAAACCCCAAAACAGGGGGACGGGGCGGAGGGGTGAAGGGCAGCAAACTTGGGGCGCCACGACCCCCCCAAAATTGGGGTCACTGAGGGGGAACCCCAAAAACGGGTCCTGCGGGAATGGGGGTTCAGAGCCCCCGTGAGGGCGATGGGGCACGGCCCTCACGGGCGGGGGTCAGGGAGCCCCATGTGAGGAGGGTGGGGGAGGGTTTGAGGACCCCCGGGGAGGGCCAGGCGGGGGCGGGGCGCGGCCCCCGCCGGTACCTTGTTTGTTCTCGTTCAGCTGCCGCTCGAACTCGTCGAAGTCGGACATGGCGGCGCTGGGGCGGCCCCGCCGGCGTCCCCGGTGCTCCCCGACCCCCCCCGGCGCCCCCCGGTGTCGCCCGGCCCGTCCCGGTGCCCGCCGGTGCCTCCCGGTCCCGCTCAGGCCGCGGCCGCTCCGTCCGCGCTCGGCTGCGCTCGGCCACTTCCGGCCGCGCTCGGCAACTTCCGGCGCCGCTCGGGCCGCGCTCGGCGCCGTCCGCGATTCTTCGGGGCTTTCCGTCACTGTACGGGCCTTTCCGTCACTGTCCGGGCCTTTCCGCCATTATTCGGTCTCTTCCGTCACTAGTCGCGGTTCCTCGTTACTGTCCGTGCCTTTCCGCCGTTGTTCGGACCCTTCCGTCACTGCTCGTGATTCACCGTCACTGCTCGGCATTCCCCGTCACTGTTCGGGACTTTCCACCGCCCCCCTCCAGCCCAACTCCCGCTCTGCCCCAAATCTCGCGATATTTCCACCGTTTATTCATCAATTTTTGTTTTATTTTTGGGTCTTTTTCAATAAAAGGGGGGGGGGAAGGGAGCAGAGGGGCACCAGGGCCCCCCAAATCAATCAAGACACTCCCCCCTCCCCAAAACACCCCCTCTCCGGGACCCCAGACTGATTCCGGGGGTGGGGTGGGGTTTGGGGGTCCCTGGGGAGGCCTGGGGGTCCCTCGGGGGGTCTCAGGGGGATCCCAAGGGGTTTAGGGAGGGTCTGGGGGATCCCAGGGGGGTCAGGGTGGGCCTGGGGTGTCCCTGGAGTGTCTGGGGAGGGTCTCAGAGGAGTCCTGAGGGGATCCCGGGGGTTCCACGAGGGGCTGGGGGGTCCCTGGACTGTCTCGGGGGGCTGGGGGTCCTAGGGAGGAGTCGGGGGTCCCTGCAACGTCTCGGGTGGGGGCTGGGGGTCCCAGCCCTCTCAGGGTGGGTCAGGGTGGGCTCGGGGGTCCTGCCCTGGCACAGTGGGGGCGTTTGAGGGGCTGGGGAGGTCAGGTGGGATTTGGGGTCCCAGGGGTGGTTTGGGGGTCCCTAGGGTCCCTGTTTTGGGGGTCCCTCAGTGCTTGAAGCGGTAGGTGATGGGCAGCAGCAGCTTGTCTCTGCTTCAGGGCCTGCACCTTGCGCAGGGTCCGGGTGGGTTGGGTGGGTTTGGGATGGGTTGGGGGTGGTTTGGGGTGGTTTGGGGGTCCCTGGGGGTCCGTTTTGGGGGTCCCTCAGTGCTTGAAGCGGTAGGTGATGGGCAGCAGCAGCTTGCTCTGCTTCAGGGCCTGCACCTTGCGCAGGGTCTCGGGGTCCAGGGCCTGGAAGCAGCGGCGGGAGTAGTCGAGGAGCCGCTCCTTGGCGGGGTCGAACTCGCCCACCTCGCGCAGCTTCTCGGGCGCCACGAGGCGCAGCTCGGCGATCGGCGTCGTCAGCGCCACCGTGTTCCGGTCCACGCGGTGGTGCCGGAACGCGCCGCTCATGGAGCGCAGGCGCTGGAACGTCCGCAGGACACGCTGGTACCGACGCAGGACACCCTCAGCATCCCTCACTGGGGACACAGGGATAAAGAGAGGGACATCAGGGACACAGACAGGGACACAGGGACAGGGAGACACAGACAGGGACAGACAGGGCTCATGGAACGCGCCGCTCATGGAGCGCAGGCGCTGGAACGTCCGCAGCACCCGCTGGTACCGACGCAGGACACCTTCAGCATCCCTTACTGGGGACAGAAAGGGACATCAGGGACACAGACAGGGACACAGGGACACAGACAGGGACAGCAGGGACAGGGACAGGGCTCATGGAACGCGCCGCTCATGGAGCGCAGGCGCTGGAACGTCCGCAGGACACGCTGGTATCGACGCAGGACACCTTCAGCATCCCTTACTGTGACAGAGAGAGGGATATCAGGGAGAGGGGGACACAGAGAGGGACAGCAGGGACAGGGACAGGGCTCATGGAACGCGCCGCTCATGGAGCGCAGGCGCTGGAACGTCCGCAGCACCCGCTGGTACCGCCGGAGCACGCCCTCGGCATCCCTCACTGGGGACACAGGGACAGAGAGAGGGACATCAGGGACAGGGGGACACAGAGAGGGACATCAGGGACACAGACAGGGACAGCAGGGACAGGGACAGGGACATCAGGGACAGGGGGACACAGAGAGGGACAGCAGGGACATCAGGGACAGGGACAGCAGGGACAGGGACACACCCAGAGCACCTGCTGGTCCCAGTGCAGAACCCCCTCAACCTCGTGGACTTGGAGAGGGACCCTGGGGACACTGGGGATGTCGGGACATTGGGGATATTGGGGACATTGGGGACATTGGGGATATTGGGGACATCGGAGACATTGGAGATATTGGGGACATTGAGAGCATTGGGGACATTGGGGACATCGTGGACAGGGCCTTGGCTGCACCATCCGCCCCCAGCACTGTCCCCAGCAGTGTCACAGGCTGAGGGGACAGGGGGGGGCACAGGGGTGGGACACGGGGGGCTCAGTGTCCCCGCACTGTCCCCACAGTGTCCCCACAGTGTCCTGGGGGCGGGTTCCCAGTGCCCCCAGTTTGTCCCAGTGCCCCCAGTTTGTCCCAGTGTTCCCAGTCGCCCCCCGTGCCCCCCCAGCCCCCCCGGGGGTCTCACCGCGCTGCCTCTCGCAGGTCCTGGCCGGGCCCCCTCCTGCGGGGCCCCCGGGTCTGTGCCGGGCCGGGGGTCTCGGGGGTCCCGGGAGGAGGAGCCGCCTCGTCGTCCGAGCCCCCCCCGGCCTGGGGGTCCCCGACGCCCCCCCGGCGCTGCCGCGGGGCCTTCCCACGCCGGGGGTCCTCTGGGGGGGGGACACAGGGTTGGGGGCACCCGGGACCCCAGGACCCTGGGACCCCAGGACCCCCAATACCCCTGAGACCCCCCGTCCCTTGGGAACCCCCAAGTCCCTTTGCCCCCCACCCCCACGACCCCCGTGACCCTCCCAAAAATCCCTCCACGTCCCCCACGCCCCCTGCCCCCCTCGAGGCCCCCCATCCCACAGACCCCCTGGGACTCCCCAAACTCCCCCATCCCCGAGTTCCTGCCCCCACCCCCAGACCCCCGTGCCCTCATCCCTGTGGCCCCCAATGTCCCCAATGTCCCCCAATGTCCCCCAATGTCCCCCCACCTGTGCCCCCAGGGCCGTCTCCAGCTGCCTCCTCAGGAAATCCCGCTCGTCCTCCAGGTCCCGGATCCGCCGCTGGAGCCAAACCTGCCGCTCCAGGGCCAGGGCCAGCTGGGCCCGCAGCCCGGGGGGGTCTGGGGGGGCCAGAAACCCCCTCAGGGACCCCAAAAACCGCTCAGGGACCCTCAAAAACCCCTTAGGGACCCCAAAAACCCCTCAGGGACCCCAAAATCCACTCAGGGACCCCAAATACTGCTCAGGGACCCTCAAAAACCCCCTTAGGGACCCCAAAAACCCCCTCAGGGATCACAAAAACCTCTCAGGGACCCCAAAAACCCATCAGGGACCCCAAAAGGCCCTCAGGGATCCCAAAAACCCCCTCAGGGACCCCAAAAACCTCTCAGGGACCCCAAAAACTGCTCAGGGATCCCAAAAACCCCTCAGGGACCCCAAACCTCTCAGGGACCCCCAAAACTGCTCAGGGATCCCAAAAACCCCTCAGGGACCCCAGAAACTGCTCAGGTACCCCAGAAACCCCTCAGAGACCCCAAAAACCCCCTCAGAGACCCCAAAACCCCCTCAGGGACCCCAAAAACCACTCAGGGATCACAAAAACCCCTCAGGGACCCCGAAACCCCTCAGAGACCCCAAAACCCCTCAGGGCCAGCTGGGCCCGAAGTCTGGGGGGTCCCCAAACCTCATGGCCCCCCAGCCCCACATCCCACCGGGACCCCAACCCCACCCCTCAGCCTGGGGACCCCCAAACCTTCAGGGCCGCCCTGGGGGGCCGAGGCCGAAGAACGGGGGGCTCTGCCTGGGGGCTCCGGGAGGGTCAGGGGGCTCCAGGAGCCCTCGTCCTTCACTGGGGGGACACAAAGGGGGGCACCGTCAGATACCAAACCCCCAAACCCCACCAGGCACCCCAGAACCCCCTGGGACCCCCAAAACCACCCCCAACCCCCAACCACTCAATCCTCCTCCCGGGAACCCCAAAACCTTCCCAACCCCCAAACTCATCAAACCCCCCGGTACCCCCAAAAACCTTCCCAACCCCCCAAAGCCACCAAACCCCCTGGGAACCCCAAAACCTTCCGATCTCCCCCAAAGCCATCAAACCCCCGGGACCCCCAACTCTCCAAAAGGGGTCCCTGCTCTCCCCTCCAAAACGAGGCCCCCGGGCCCCCTGAACCCCAAACCCTCCCCACCCCCACCAGGGTCCAAACCTCAGGGACCACCCAAAAACCCCTCGGGGACCCCCAAAAACCCCTCAGGGACCCCCAAACCCCCGACCCCCCGTACCGGGTCTGCGGCGACGCTCGGCCATGGCAGGGACCCCCAGGACCACCTGCGGGGAGGAGGACAGGGGGTCACCCCAAATCCCTGAGACCCCTCCCGGAACCCCCCAAAATCCTTCTGACCCCCCAACCAGGGACCCCTCCCCAAAACCACGACCCTTCCACTCCCCGGGACTCCCAAAGTGGGACCCCCAAACGACCCCGGGACCCCTCTGGAGGACACCCCCAAAGGGACCCCCAAATCCCTGGGACCCCTCCCCAAATCCTGCGACCCCCAAAATCCCTGTGCCCCCCACGCCCCCAAGGTCCCGTTTTATTGGGGGTCCCTGGACTTTTTTTGGGGGGTCCTCTTCTGAGATGGCTCCCTGTTTTTCTGGGGAGGTCCTGATTTTTTGTGGGGTTGTCCCTGTTTTGGGGAGCGGTCCCGATTTTGAGGAGGGGGTGGGGGTCCCTGTTTTCGGGAAGGTCCTGCTTTTTGGGGTGGGTCTCGGTATTTTTGGGGGTGGTCCCTGATTTTGGGGCGGGTGGTCGGTGATTTTGGGGGGTTCCTGTTTTTGGGAGGGTCCTGTTTTTTTGGGGGTCCCGCTCACCACTCGCTCCGCGCCCGCGGCTGCGCCGCGCGCAGGGACCGACTGCAAAGAGCGGCCGCGGAGCCGCCTGGGGGCGCGGATTATGGGGAGGGACTGCAAATCGAGGGGGTCCCCTCAAGCCCCCTGACCTCCAAACCCGCCCCTCCCCAAAACCCCCCAATCCCCCCCGCGCTGATTTTCGCCCCGGTTCGGTCGCGGCTCCTTCGCGACGCTCCCTGAGCCCCCAGGCCCCGCCCCCCCCTGAACGCGCCCCCTGAGTGGCTCCTCCTCTTCGCTGGCCCCGCCCCGCGCTGGCCCTGCCCCTCCCGGGGACCGGCGGCAAATTCCGAGCGCGGCCGAACCCGAAAGCGGCCCCGGGGGGCAAAGACCCAAATCAGGGGGTCGCGACCCCGGAGGGGACTGGGGTCCTGCGTGGGGGACACGAAGAGACCCTGCAGCGCCCGAGACACGCGGCCGGGGGGTGAATTACCGGGGGTGTCGAGGGTGCGAAACCCCCTCGTGTGTCCCCCCAATAAAGGGGTCTCGGGGTCCTGGGTGGTTTTGGGGGTCTCGGAGGGGGAACTTCCGAGGGGCGGCGGCGTTTCCAGCCGGAGCCCAAAGGCTGCGGCACCGGCCCGGCCCGACCCCCCCCTCCCCCGCCCCCACCGGGGACCCCTGAGCGGAGCCTCCCAAAAAGCCCCCGGCCGAGCCCCCGGACACGCCGCGACCGCAGCGGGGCCTCATGAAGGGCCCGAAGTGGGGCCCGGGGCGCGGAGGCGCCGGGAGGTACCGGGGGACCGGGGGAATTTGGGAGGGGGATTGGGGGGTGGGGGGAGCGTCAGAGACCCCCCCTCGGGGCTGCCCCGCATCCCCGGGACGGCGCAGGCAGGACCCCGGGCGGGCCCCGATCCAGCGACACCGGGGGGAGCGGGACCCCCGGCTGTGCCCCCACCCCTGGGGACCCCAAATAACCCCCCCTAATTCCTGGGAATCCCCCAGATCGGGACCCTCGGCTGTGCCCCCACCCCTGGGGACCCCCAATAACCCCCCCTAATTCCTGGGAATCCCCCCAGATCGGGACCCCCGGCTGTGCCCCCACCCCTGGGGACCCCCAATAACCCCCAATTCCTGGGAATCCCCCAGATCGGGACCCCGGAGCTGCCCCCACCCCTGGGGACCCTTAAATTCCCCTCATTCCTGGGACCCCAGACCTGCCCAGAGGTCCCCAAATGCCCTCCCCATTTTCGGGACCCCTTCCCGATCTCCCCACCCCTGGGGACCCCTAAACCCTCCCTAATTCTGCAGACACCGGGAGACCCCCAAGCCCCTCTAACGCCCCCTCCTTTTCTCCCCACAGCCACACGGACTCCTCCCCCACCTCCCCGCCGCCCCCACCCCCTGCCCGCCCCCTCCCCACCTCCCCCGCCGCCCTCCCCCACAACCCCCTTCCTCCCCGTCCCCCTCGCCGTCCGGAGCCCCCGCCGGGGGGGGTCGTTACCTGCTGATCGACAGCCAAGGGCTGCCCTACACGGTGCTGGTGGCGGAGCCGGGGGGCGCGGCCGGGACCCCCCGGAGCCCGCGGGCGTTCTGGTGCCCCGAGTGCGGGCGCTCCTTCGCGTACCTGTCGTACCTGCAGCGCCACAGCATCGCCCACTCGCCGCTCAAGCCGCACGTGTGCCGCGCCTGCGGCAAGGCCTTCAAGCGGGCGTCGCACCTGGAGCGGCACCGCTTCACCCACGCCGGGGGCAAGAAGCCCCTGGGCTGCCCCCTCTGCCCCCGGCGCTTCCGGGACTCGGGCGAGCTGGCCCAGCACCAGCGGGTGCACACCGGGGAGCGCCCCTTCCCCTGCCCCCACTGCCCCCTGCGCTTCGGGGAGAGGAACACCCTGCAGAGGCACCTGCGCAGGAAGCACCCGGCCGGCCGGGAGCAGGGCAGCTGAGGGGGGCCGGGAGAGCTCAGGGGACGTGGAGGGTGGGGGATAAGAGGGGTGGCGTGGAGGGACGGCGACCCCGGGGTTGGAGGCATGGAGGGACGGCGGCTGTGGAAAGTGGACAGCAGTGACCATGGAAAGTGGACAACAGTGACCATGGAAAATGGACAACAGTGACCATGGAAAATGGACGATGGCGGCCATGGGAAATGGGCAGTGGCCGTGGGAAATGGACATCAGTGACCACGGAAAATGGACGACAGTGGCCGTGGGAAATGGGCAGTGGCTGTGGAAAAGGGACGGTGGCCATGGGCAATGGACAGCGATCCTGGGAGCGGGGATGCAGAGGGACAGTGCCCATGGACAGTGGACAGCCATCCTGGGAGCAGGGACATGGAAGGACGGTGCCCATGGACACTGGACAGCGATCCTGGGAGCGGGGACGTGGAGGGACGGTGCCCATGGACAGTGGACAGCCATCCTGGGAGCAGGGATGCAGAGGGACGGTGCCCACGGACAGTGGAAAGCGATCCTGGGAGCGGGGGCACGGAGGGACGGCGGCCCCGGAGCTCGTCGGGACGGGATGGTGGCCGCGGAGGTGGCCACGTGGAAGGCGGTGGCTTCGAAGTCGGGGGTGTGGAGGGTTGGTGGCCCCGGGCTCTGGCGTGGAAAGGACGGTGGCTCCGAGGGTGGGGGACGTGGAAGGCGACGGCAGTGGGGCTTGGGGAGGTGGGAGATGGTGGCCCCAGGGTTGGGGGGGTGTCCTGTGCCGCCCCTCCTTCCCCCCTCAACTTGATGTTCATTTTTTTTAATTATTAAAAAAACTGGGTTTTGGTTTTTCCGTGTCTCTTGTGGTGTCTCTGGGTGGGGGGAGGGGCTAGGGAGGATATCACACCCCCCCACACACACCAACCATCCCCACCCACCCCCCTCAGCCAACAGACCCCTGAACCGACCCCCAGCTGACCCAACGACCCCCAAACGGCCCCCGACCGACCCAAGGACCAACTCACCCGTGAGCCAATCGACACATCGACAAACCGACCCCCCAACTCATCAACCCCCTCCCCAACCCTCTACCAAACCCATCACCCAACCCATCATCCAACCAACCCACCCACCGTTAACCCAACCCACCATCAACCAACCAACCAACGACCCAACCAACCCATTGCCCAACCAACAAACCTATCAACCCATCATCAACCAACCAACCAACCCACCAACCCAACCCACCATCAACCAACCAACGACCCAACCAACCAACCAACCCACCCACCGTTAACCCAACCCACCATCAACCAACCAGCTGATCACACAACCCATCAACCAACCAACCAACCCAACCCATCATCAACCAACCGACGACCCAACCAACCCATCACCCAACCAACCAACCCACCATCAACCAATGACCCAACCAACCCATCATCCAACCAATGACCCAACCAACCCATCACCCAACCAATGACCCAACCAACCCATCATCCAACCAATGACCCAACCCACCCATCAACCCAACCCATCATCAACCAACCAACAACCCAACCAATGACCCAACTCGTCAACAAACCCCCGGCCAAACAACCCCCACCCACCCACCCCACACAACCCCCCACCCCAGCCCTCCTTCAAACCCCCTCCACCCCTCACCCCCCCGCCGTGGCCGCACACTCAGACCCCTCCCCGCCCGCGGTGGCTCCGGTTTATTCCGCCTCCCTCCGTGACAGCGCGGCGCGGCCCTCCCCACCCCGCCCCTCCCCGCCCCTCCTCACGGGACCCCCGGGTGGGGAGGGGCCTCGAGCGCAGAGCTTTGATTTATGGAGATTCAGAGTTCATGGACCCCGGGGGTTGGGGGATTCATCGAGGGGGTCTGGGAGTCCTGGGGAGGGTCCAGGGTCCCGCAGGCCTGGGCAGGGGGGGTCATGTCCGAGTGTCGGTGGGGCAGCGGGGGCACGGCAAAGGGGGCGGGGCCGTGGCGAGGCGTGTTGGGGCGTGTCGGGCCATGGCGAGGCGTGTTGGGGCGTGTTGGGCCGTGATAAATCTGTGCTGAGCCGTGTCACACCGTGAGGAACCGTGCCAAGCCATGGCGAGGCGTGCTGGGGCATGTCAGGGCGTGTCACGCCGTGACAAATCCGTGCTGAGCCGTTTCGCACCGTGAGGATCCATGAGGAGCTGCGACAAGTCCTGTCCCGCCGTGCCGAGCCGTGCCGTGCCGTGTCAGCCCGTGACAGGTTGGGTTGTGCTGTGACGAGCCACGCCCTGCCGTGACATCCCCGTCATGCCACGACGAGCCGTGTCCAGCCATGTCCACCCGAGCTGTGCCGTGCCATGACCGTGCCGTGTCCCCCCGTGCTGTGCTGAGCCGTGTCCAGCTGTGTCCCACCACGACGTCCCCTCCGTGTCCCCGTGGCACCGATGCCCCCGACACCCTCCCCTCACTCCCCCTGGGCCGCCCCGGCCGCGCCCTGGCGGTGCCGCAGCCGCCGGTGCTGCCGCAGCCCCTCGGGAGCGGCGAAGGCCTCGCCGCAGGCGCGGCACGGGAAGGGCCGCCCGGCCTCGTGGCCGGCCAGGTGTCGGCGCAGGCGGCGGGCGTCGCCGAAGCGGCGGCAGCAGGCGGGGCAGCGCAGCCCCCGGCGCCGCGCGTGGCCGCGCTGGTGCCGCAGGATGGACGACAGGTAGAAGAAGCTCTTCCCGCAGCGCTCGCACCGGTAAACGTCCTCGCCCAGGTGGCGCCGCCGGTGCTCCAGCAGCTCCGAGCGCCGCCCGAAGCTCTCCCCGCAGGTCCGGCAGCGCCGCGGCCGCGCCGGGCGGTGCCGGCGCTGGTGCTCGGCCAGGCCGGCGGGGTGGGCGAAGCGCTTGGCGCAGCGCGGGCAGCGCAGGGCCCCGGCGTGGCCGGCGCGGTGCCGCCGCAGGGCCCGGGCGCGGCGGAAGGCTCGGCCGCAGGTGCGGCAGCGCAGCCGGGCGAGGCAGCGGCGCCGGTGCCGCCGCAGCAGCGCGGCCGCCCAGAAGCGGCGCCCGCAGCCGCCGCAGGGCCAGGGCCGGCGGCGCAGGTGGCGCCGGCGGTGCAGCAGCAGCTCGTAGGCGCGCGGCGCAGCGCCGCCCGCACGCCCCGCAGGCCCGCGGCCGCCGCGCCAGGTGCACGTACTTGTGCGTCACCAGCGCCAGGAACCGCTTGAAGCTGCGCCCGCAGGTGCCGCAGGGGAAGCGCCCGGCCCGTGGCGCCGCCCGCGGCGCCTCGGCGGGCACCGGGGGCTCGCCCCCCGCCGCCGCCGTCACCGGCCGCTCCGGCGGCGCCGGGTGCACCAGGCGGTGCCAGACGAGGTTCTCCAGGAAGCCGAACACCTGCCCGCAGGTGTCGCAGCCGGGCGGGCGCTCGGCCGCGGGTCCCGGCAGCGGGTCCTGGTGGGCGGCGGCGGCGGCGCGGAGCAGGTCGGGGAAGCGCTGCCCGCAGGCGCCGCAGCCCAGCCCGGCCGGGGCGGCCTCGCCGGGCGGCGGGGGCGGCGCGGGCGGCGGCGGGCGGTGCACCTGGCGGTGCCGCGTGAGGCTCTGGGGGTAGCCGAAGGTCTTGCCGCACAGGTCGCAGCGGTAGGGCCGCTCCCGCGTGTGCACCACGCGGTGCTTGCGCAGGTGGAAGGACTCCCGGAAGCGCTTCCCGCACACCCCGCACTCGTGCGGCTTCTCCCCGGTGTGGATGCGCTCGTGGCGCCGCAGCGTCTCGCGCGCCCGAACGCCCGCCCGCACACCGCGCACCCGAGCTGCGCCCGCCGCCCGCCCCCGGAGAGGGGCTCGCCCGCGGCGCCGGCGCCGCCGCCGAGGCCCCGCCACCCCGCGGCCCCCGGGCCGGCCTCGGGCGCGGCGTGGGCGCGGCGGTGCCGCAGCAGGCTCTGGGGCGCGGCGTAGGCCTTGCCGCAGACGTCGCAGCGGTGCGCGGGCCGGGGCCCGCCGTGGCTGGCCTGGTGGCGCAGCAGGTAGGCGGCGTCGCGGAACTCCTTTCCACACACCGGGCAGGGCACGCGCCGCGGCCCCGCGTGCGTCTTCACGTGGCGCGTGAGGCTCTCGCGCCGGTTGAAGCTGCGGCCGCAGGCGGCGCAGGTGAAGGGCTTCTCGCCCGTGTGGATGATCTGGTGCTGCGCCAGGTGGCTCGGCTTCTTGAACACCTTCCAGCACAGCGGGCACGTGAACGGCCCCTCCGCGCCCGCCGGGGCCGCGCCGGCGCCGCCGCCCGGGGCCAGCGGGACCCCCACGGGCGCCAGGGGCACCGCGCCGGGCGCCAGGAGGACGCCGCTGGGCACCGGGATGACCCCGTTGGCCACGGCCACCGTCACCCCGCCGGGCGCCACCAGGTTGACGCCGTTGGCCTGGGCGTTGACGCCGTTGGGCGCGGCGGGACGGGCGCGGCGCCGACCCCGTTGGGCCCCGCGCGACCCCGCCGGGCGCCGCGGCGCCCACGCCGAGTCCCGCGCCGGCCCGTTGGGAGCCGCGGCCGCGCCGCGCCCGGCGCCGGCCCTGCCGACGTTGGGCACGGCGCTCACCCCGTTGGGCACCGCGTTGGCCCCGGCGGGCGCCGCGCCGGCGCTGGGGAGGGCTCCCACGCTGGGGAGGGCACCGACCCCGCCGGCCAGCGGGACGACCCCGTTGGGCGCCACACGACCCCATTGGGCGCCACGCCGACCCCATTGGCCAAGGCCAGGACCCCGGAGGCCGCGCCGGGCACGGGGGGCGCCGCCCTGGCCGAGGCGCCGGCGCCGGCGTCGTCGGGGGCGTCGCGGTGGCAGCGGCGGTGGCGCACCAGGCTGGAGCCGTGGCTGTAGGCGCGGCCGCAGGTGCGGCACTCGTAGGGCCGCTCGGCGCCGTGCGCCTGCACGTGCTGCACCAGCTGCGCCGCCTGCCGGAACGCCTTGGGGCAGGCGGCGCACGGGAAGCGCCGCTCCACCAGGTACTTGAGGCGCCGGAAGTAGCTCCGCTCCTCCTTCGAGCCGGGTTCCGGCGCCGCGGCGCCGCCGCCGGGGTCGCGCTGGGGCGCCCGGCCCCGCCGCGTTTGAGCCCCCCGAAGAGGTGCTGGTGCCCCGACAGGTCCACGATGCCCCACTGAGGGCCGGGAAGCGCGGCGGCCTCGAAGAGGGCTGGGGGGGCGGGGGCGGCGGGAGAGTGGGGGCGGGTGCGGGAGGGCCCCGCGGGACTCCCCAAGGGCCCTCCGGCTTCTTGGGCTGCGCCGAGGACGAGGAGGTCGAGGAGGAGGAGGAGGAGGAGGAGGAGGAAGCAGCGCTAGTGGCCCCCTCGGGCTTGTGCTTGGGCGGGGGGCGGTCGAGGAGGGCCCCCGGAGGGGGGTATTCGAAGGGGGCGGGGGAGGGGCAGCGACTTAGGGGCTCGAAGGGCTCCGGCGGCTCCGGGCGCTGGTGGGTCAGGAAGTCCAGGAAGTCGAAGGGGTAGGACTGGAAGTGGCTGCTCTCGTCGCTCATGTTGGTCTCCATCGCCCCCCCTCAACAGAGCCGGGGGGCACCTGGGAGGGCAAGGAAGGGGTTTGGGGGGACTTTGAGGGACGTGCAGCCACAAAACAGGGTCCCTGTGGGGCTTTTTGGGGGCTGCGCCCTTGGGTGTGTGAGGGAGCAGAGGAGGGGCTGGGGGCCGTGGGGGGTCCCTGTGGGGGTTTGGGGGGCATTTGAGGTCTGGGAGGAGTCAGAGGTGTGGAGGGCGAGTAGGGAAATTTGGGGTCCCCTCTGGAAGTTTGGGGGTGGGGTTGAGCCTCAATGGGGGACGAGCCCAGGAATCCCACCCGGGGTTGGTTTGGGGGTCTCCGTCAGTTTTTTTTTGGGGGGTCTGTGAGCCTGGGAGTGGCCCAGAGCCCGGGAAATTTGGGGGCGCAGCGGCCCTGGGGGTGCAGGGTCTCCGGGAGTGTTTTTGGGGGTGTGGAACCCGCAGCGCTGGGGGGCGGTTCAGGGGTCCCAGAGCCGCGAGGGGTAGCGGGGACGGCGCTGTGGGAGGTCACTCACCTGGGGATCCTGGGGCCGGGATCGGGGGTCCCGGGGCGGGCAGGGGGTCCCGGGGCCGCCCCGAGCCCCGCACGGACGGGCCGGGCCGGACGCGCCGCCCCCGCCGGAACCGGATCCGGAACCCCCTCAGGGGTCCCGCCCCCACACACCCCGGAGAGTCCCGGGAGCCCCGCAGAGCAGGAACGGCGGAGCTGGGCCCCCAAAACCAGCGGGACCCTCCCCAGCCCTGCGGGTGCCGGGGGCCGCGGGGACCCCAGGGTGGGGGCGGGGGCGCTGCCCACACCAAAGATGGCGCCGGCGCCGCCTCCCCCGTTCAAGATGGCGGCACCGCCCCGTTAATGCCGCGGGCCGAGACAAGATGGCGACCCCCTGCCCTCAACAAAGATGGCGCCCGCGAGCCGCCCAAACCCAAAATGGCGGCCGGAGCTTCGGAACCACTTCCAAAACGACACGCTCCGACCAATCAGGGAAGCCGCTTCGGAAAGGGCTACGGCCCGTGGAGGAAGTGACGACACAGCGTGGGAAAGGGGAGCCGCGGGACGGGGGGGGGGGAAGGAGATCCCGGGGGTCCGCGGGGCCTGTGACGTCAGGGGGGGGCAGGGTGGGTCTCGGGGGGTCCCGCAGGGCCGAGGAATCCCCCCCGCTCCCCTCTCTGCGAGGCGCGGCCCCGTTCACGGCGCGCGGCCCCTTTAAGAGCGCGCGGCACGTGCGGCCCCGCGTGCTCGCGGCCCCCCCCCGGGACACGAGCGCTCCCGATTGGCCAAAACTGGGTCAGGGCCCGCCCCCCGCGCGCCTCCCCATTGGCCCAATGTAGGTCAGGCCCCGCCCCCTCATGGCCGCACCGCCTGACCGAGGCCCCGCCCCCCGCGCTCCCATTGGCCGCGCGCGCCGCGAGGGGGCGGGGCCGGGCGAAGGGGGCAGAGCCTCGGCCCGTTCTGAAGGGGCGTGACCAAAGCGGAGAAAGGGGCGTGGTTTTGGCCGGTGCGGACCAATCGGAGCTTCGCAGCGTGCGCGGACGGGGCGTGGCTTCTCCTTACAGGCACCGCCTCTCCGCGCGAGGCGGGCGGGGATTGGCCGAGAGGGCGAGGGGGGTGGGGTCAGTGCCGGCCACGCCCCCTCCCGGGCGCAGCGCCCCCCGCGGGGCTCGGAGGGCACCGGGACCACCCGAGACAGGTGGGGTTGGGGGGGACACCGGGACTGGGGGGACACCGGGATTGGGGGATCAGGGACCCCTGGGGGGACACCGGGACCACCCGAGACAGGTGGGGATGGGGGACACCGGGAATTTGGGGGACACCGGGATTGGGGGAAGGGACCCTGGGGGCACTGGGACTGGGGGGACATCAGGATTGGGGGGACACCGGGAATTGGGGGGACACCGGGATTGGGGGTCAGGGACCCTCAGGAGGCACCGGGACCACCCAGAGACAGGTGGGGATGGGGGGGACACCGGGATTTGGGGGGACACTGGGATTGGGGGCAGGGACCCCAGGGGACACCAGGACCACCCCGAGACAGGTGGGGATGGGGGACACCGGGATTGGGCGGGGACACCGGGAATTGGAAGGGACATCGGGAATTGGGGAGGGACAGGGACCCCTGAGGGGGACACCGGGACCACCCTGAGGCAGGTGGGAATGGGAGGGGACACCGGGAATTGGGGGACACGGGGACAGGAATCCCCGGGGGGACACCGGGAGTTGGGGGGTAACGGGACCACCCGAGCGGCAGGTGCCGAACGGGACCCCCGGGAATTTTTGGGGTGGGGGAGGATCAGAGGTAACGAGGTGAGGGGAGACCCCGAGACCTCCGGAGTTCCAGAGCCCCAGGGGGTTCCCTGGGGATGGGGGGGAAGATGTCCCTGTGCCCCTCCCCAATTCCCATTCCCTGTGCCCCTCCCCAATTCCCGGTGTCCCCCGTGGGATCCGTCCCGGGGTCACCGAGGTGAATCCGCACGTGGGGCGGGGGATCCCCCACGTGACCGCGGCACGTGCCGCCCCTCTCCCCCACGCGTGTCCCGTGTCCCCACGCGTGTGGCGCCAGATCACGTGGGGGGCACGTGTCCCTCGGGGGGTGATGGAGGGGGTTGAGGAGCTTTTGGGGGTTCGGGGGAATTGGGGAGGGGGGATTTTGGGGGGTTTTGGGGGTCCGGATGGGATGGGGAGGTTTTGGGGGGTGTGAATTGTTGAGGAGGGTTGGGGGTCTCGTTCCCTCCTCCCCCGTGACCCAGCGTGGGGAACCCGGAGTGGGTTCGGGGGTGTTTTCGGGAGGTTTTGGGGTCTCATCCCCCTCTCCCCCCAGGATGGAGGAGCCGGGCGGGAGCCGCGGGGCTTCGTGGGCGCCCCTGCCCCCCGCCCCGTGGGAGCGGCCCGGGTGCCCCCCGCCCCCGGGCGATTTGGAGTACGTGGACCTGGACGAGTTCCTGCGGGAGCACGGGCTGCCCCCAGCCCCCAGGCCCCCCGCCCACGAGAGGCCGCCCGGTGAGGGGCGGGTTCAGGAGGGACCCGGGGGGCACCCAGAAGTTCGTGAGGAGCCAGGAAGGGGAGTGGGGAGGGAGACGCGAGATTCCCCCTTATGAAGGGGAGGACCCCTCTTCCAGGCCCCGCCTCTTCACGTGCGGAGGGGCAGGGCCGCCCTCGTGCCGCTGTGTCGCGATAGAGACCCCCACACTGCCCCCCAGGGTGGTGGGACCCCCTCCCCTGCCCTGTTCGGGGGGGGCAGGATCCATTTTCCCCTCAGGACCCCCTGATTGTGACCCGGACCCCATAACGCCCCCAGGGTTCTGAGGACCCCCAGTCCTGTCAGAGGGGGCTCTGAGACCCCCCTCCGGTTCTTTCACCCCCCACTCTAACCCTGCCCCCCCAGCCCCCGGCCCCCGGGCCCCCACGCCTCCGCCGGGAGCCGCTGCTGGAGGCGGAGCTGGGGGCCCAGGGGGCCCTTCGACCCCGGCGGCTCCGCTTCTCCCAGGACGAGCTGAGACCCCAACCCATCGCCAGGAAGGCCAGGAAGGTCCACGTGCCCGAGGAGCAGAAGGTGGGGGCACCCCAAAATTGGGGGAGGAATAGGGGGGATCCAGGGGGGTCCCTGTGGGAGGGTCCCTTTCCTTGGGGAGGGGTCTCTTTGTCTCTAGGGGTTTTGTTGTGTCCCTGGGGGGGTCTCTGTGTCCCTGGGGGTCTGTTGTGTCCCTGGGGGTTTCTTTGTCCGTGGGGGGTCTCTTGTGTCCCTGGGGGGTCTCCATGTCCATGGGGTGGTTGTTGTGTCCTTGGGGGGGTCTTCATGTCCATAGGGGGTCTGTTGTGTCCATGAGGGGTCTCCATGTCCATGGGGGGGGTGTCTGTTGTGTCCCTGGGGGGGTCTCTGTGTCTCTGGGGGGCTCTGTTGTGTCCCTGGGGGTCTGTTGTGTCCCTGGGGGGGTCTCCATATCCATGGGGTGGTTGTTGTGTCCCAGGGGGATCTCCATGTCCGTGTGGGGGGGCTCTGTTGTGTCCATGGGGAGGGGTCTGTTGTGTCCGTGCATTCCCCCCATCTGTGGCATCCCCTCATCCCTGGGGGTCCCCATGTCCACGGGGGGGTCCCTCCTGCCGTGGGATCCCCGGGGTGTCCCCTGCCACTCCCTGGGGTGTCCTTGGCTGTCCCTAAAACGTCCCTGTGTCCCCCTCTCCCCCCCCCCAGGACGAGAAGTACTGGAGCCGCCGCTCCCGCAACAACGCGGCCGCCAAGCGCTCGCGGGACGCGCGGCGGCTCAAGGAGAACCAGATCTCGGTGCGGGCGGCGTTCCTGGAGCGCGAGAACGCGGCCCTGCGGCTCGAGGTGGCCGCGGCGCGCCGGGAGCTGCAGCGCTTCCGAGCCATCCTCGCCCGCTACGAGGCCCGGCACGGGCAGCTCTAGGGCCGGCACGGCACGGGCGGCGGCTCGGAGGGAACTGGGACGGCCTGGAGCGATCTGGGACGTTCTGGGACGTCCTAGAGCGATCCAGAACAACCCCCGGTGATCTGGGACATTCTGGGGTGATCTGGGATAGCCCAGAGTGAACTGGGACGCCCTGGAGTCATCTGGGAGAGCCTGGAGTGATCCAGAACAACCCAGAACTGTCTGAGACCCTGTGGAGCAATCCGGGACATCCTGGAGTGATTTGGAATGATCTGGGACACCCTGGAGTCATCTGGGAGAGCCTGGAGAGATCTGGCACGAGCTGGGACGCCCTGGAGCCGCCTGGAATTCTATGGAACGTTCTGAAGTGACCCAGAACGAGCCAGAGTGATCTTGGACACACTGGAGGGACCTGGAACACCTTGCAGGGATCTGGAACAAGCTAGGACTGGCTGGAGTGATCCAGGACAGCCCAGAGCGATCCAGGACAGTCCAGGGTGATCCAGGACAGTCCAGGGTGATCCAGGATCCCAGAGCGTGACCTGGAACGGCGCGGGATAACTCAGGACACCCCGGGATGATCCGGAGCAGCCCAGGGGGATCCAGGACCCCCAGAGGGATCCCAGGAACTGGGAAGCATCTTGGGAATGGGGCTGGGATCCGGCAGATCCGGGACTGGGATGCACTTCCAGGATCCAGCCCTGACCCAGAACCGGGATCTGGATCCACCCAGAACCGACCACACGGAGGGGGGACGGGACTGAGACCCCCACCCAGCCCTGCAGGTGCCCCCCCACTCCTGGATCCCCCTGGAATCCTCCCCTGGATCCCCCTCCCCGGGGGTCTCCCCTCTCCCCCCTTTGTAAATATTTATTCCCGGCCCCCAGGCCGGGTCAAGCACAAATTTGGGGGTCCTGGTGTCCCCTCCCCCCAGTGACCCATTTCCAGTTCAGGCCAGTAGCGTTACTGGGAGGGGATGGGGGGGTGGTCCCTGTCCCCCTCCCCCAACCCCCTCCCCCGCACTTTGACCACTTTACTGCCCTCCCCACCCCCCGCACGACAAACCCCCGGGTGTGGGGAGGGCTGGGAGGGTGGGGGGTTTTGTACAGAATAAACGTCAGACCCTGAACTGGGAGCTTGAACTGGGAGCACTGGGATGGGGGCAGGGGCACTGGGATTGGGGGAGGGGGTCAGAGCCCATCCCTCCCCCAGCACACTCGGGGTCACTCCACGATTGGGTTTTATTGCACAGACATGGAGGGGAGGGAAGGGAGGAACTCCCAGGGACCCCCAAACCACCCTCAGTACCCCAGGGTGTCCCCCTGTCCTGGGGAAGGGGGGTCACTGGACACTTGGGGACTACGGGGACCACTGAGCCCCCCCCGACTCTCAGGGGCCCCCCCAGACCCCCATGGTCCCTTGGGGTCCCCCCCAACCCCTTGGGAGTCCCCCCCTTGCTTCTCCCCCAAACTCTCGGGGTCCCCTGACCCCCGGGGTCCCCCAAAACCCTCAGGGCCTCCTCCCCGAGCCCCTGGGGGTCCCCCAAAGCCCCAGGGTGTGTCCCCCCCCTACCTGGGGGCAGGGCCATGATGGCCCAGGTGTCCCCCCTGTCCCCTGGGTGTCCCCCCTGTCCCCTGGGGGTGTCCCCCCCTCACTTAGGGGGCAGGACCATGATGGCCCAGGTGTCCCCCCTGTCCCCTGGGGGTGTCCCCCGTCCCCTGGGGGTGTCCCCCCTGTCCCCTGGGGGTGTCCCCCCCTCACTTGGGGGGCAGGGCCATGATGGCCCGGGCCAGCCCGGGGTGGAGCTGCCCCTGGACGGGCCCACACGGGACCCTCTCCCCGTCCACGGTCATGGTGCCGCCCCCTCCCAGGGGCTCCAGGCGGAAGGCGCGGGCCGGGACGCGGCTCAGGGGGGTCCCGGGGCCCCCGCCGGGGTCCCCCCCGCGGGCCATGGCGAGCAGGGCCCTGAGCAGGGAGCCCCTGGAGACCCCTCCCCGCACGAAGAGCAGGTGCAGGAGGCCGTCGTCGGGGCGGGCGCGCGGCGCGGCCACCAGGTCGGCGCCCAGGTGGGACGGGGACAGGGCCACCACCAGCACGAAGTCCCCCTCCAGCGTCACCCAGCCCGGCGGCAGCGGCTGCCCCAGCGGCACCAGCAGGTCGTCCTCGGGGCCGCGCCGGGGGCTCCCCCCGAGCTCCGGGGGGTCCCCCCCGCCGTTGGGGGGGTCCCCGAGCCCCGCGGGGTCCCCCCAGCCCTCCCCGTCCCCCTCGCAGAGCCCGGGGTCGGACACAGCCCGGGACAGGTCGGGGTCCCCGGGGACGTCCCCGGGGGGGTCCCCGAAGGCCGTGGAGCAGGTGACGCTGGTGGCACTGCGGGGCAGGCGAGTCCTGGGGGCCGGGGGGGTCCCCACCTTCCGCTGTGTCCCCTGTCCGGCTCCGGCCCGGCGTCCCTGTTGGTCCTGTTATCCCGGCCCATCCCCTTATCCAGGGCTGGTGGCTCCGTCCCAACACGCAGCCCTGTCCTGATGTCCTGGAATCCCTCGTTATCCGGGTCCATCCCATTATCCGAGTTTTCCATCCCATTATCCGAGTTCTCCATTCCATTATTCGTGTTCTCCATCCCATTATTCACATTCTCCATCTCGTTGTCCATGTTCTCCACCCCGTTATCTGCATTCTCCATCCCATTATCCGTGTTCTCCATCACGTTATCCGCGTTCTCCATTCCGTTATCCGTGTTCTCCATTCCGTTATCCATGTTCTCCACCCCGTTGTCCCCGTCCATCCCGCTCTGCGTGCTGGGCAGGTCTGTCCCAGTCCCCCGCCCTGTCTGGGTGTCCCTGCCGGCGCCGTTATCCCGGTCCATCCCGCTCCCTTTGCCCTCCAGGGCGGGCAGGTCCATGCCGTTATCCAGCTGTGTCTGGGTGTCCCTGTTGGCACCGTTATCCCGGTCCATCCCGTTTTCCGTGCCCTCCAGGGCGGGCAGGTCCGTCCCAGTTCCCAGCCGTGTCTGGGTGTCCCTGGTGTCCATCCTGTTTTCCGTGCTCTCCAGGGCGGGCAGGTCCGTGCCCTTATCCAGCCATGTCTGGGTGTCCCTGCCGGTGCCGTTATCCCGGTCCATCCCATTTTCCGTGCCCTCCAGGGCGGGCAGGTCCCTGCTGTTATCCAGCCGTGTCTGGGTGTCCGTGCTGGCACCGTTATCCCGGTCCATCCCGTTATCCATGCCCTCCAGGGTGGGCAGGTCTATCCCAGTTCCCCGCCGTGTCTGGGTGTCCCTGCTGGCGCTGTTATCCCGGTCCATGCCGTTTTCCGTGCCCTCCAGGGCGGGCAGGTACGCCAGGCGTGCCCGGCGGGCGCTCAGCACCAGCAGCCGCGCGGCCGCCGCCAGCAGGAAGCGTGCGGGGCCGAGGCGCCGCAGCCGCTCGCTGCCCACGTCGGCCTCGGCCACCAGACCCCAGGCCACGGCCAGCACCGACCAGAGCCGGGGGCCCGAGCCCAGAGACACCGACAGCACGTCCAGAGGGGCCGCTGAGCCCCGGCACAGCAGCAGGGAGCAGTTCTGGAGCAGGGACACCCCCAGGGCTGGGGACAGCCTGGGGACAGAGAGACAGACATGGGTCACACAGGGGTATGGGGACACAGGGATTTGTCACACAGGGACCCCGGCACAGCAGCAGGGAGCAGTTCTGGAGCAGGGACACTCCCAGGGCTGGGGACAGCCTGGGGACAGAGAGAGAGACAGACATTGGTCACTCAGGGTCACACAGAGGTATGGGGACACAGGAATGTGTTATATGGGGTCACACGGGGTCACACAGGGGTATGGAGACACAGGGATGTGTCATATGGGGTCACACAGGGTCACACAGGGACCCCGGCACAGCAGGAAGAGAAGGGACACCCCCAGAGCTGGGGACAGACAGAGAGACAGTTGTGGACAGACACAGGGGATGTGGGGACATGGGGATACACAGGGACACGGGGACAGCCTGGGGACATAGGGGGATCACACACAGGGGGACACAGATAAAGATGTCCCGTGTGGGGGCACCCCCAGGGACACCCCCAGGCACCAGGACACGGCCCCAGGTGCCACCCCTGTCCCCCCAGGTGCCCCCCCAGTGTCCCCAGGTGTCCCCCCTGTCCCCCCAGGTGCCCCCCCAGTGTCCCCAGAGCCCCCTTACCCCGCGTGGCAGTTGACAGCGGCCGCCAGCCCGTTCCCAGAGCCGCAGGGCAGGACCCCCAGGGGCACCCGCAGGGCCAGCGCCCAGTCCGGGCGGGACAGGAGCCCGTTCACCACCTGGGGACGACAAAGGTCACACCTGGGGACACCTGGGGACATCTGGGGACATCTTGGGGACATCTGGGTGACACCTGGGGACATCTGGGTCACCCCAAAACCCACAGGGACAGGAGCCCCTTCACCACCTGGGGACAACAACGGCACAGGGTCACACCTGGGGACATCTTGGGGACATCTGGGGCACACCTGGGGACATCTTGGGGACATCTGGGGACATCTTGGGGACATCTGGGTCACCCCAAAACCCACAGGGACAGGAGCCCCTTCACCACCTGGGGACAACAAAGGTCACACATGGGGACACCTGGGGACACCTGGGGACATCTGGGGACATCTGGGGTACACCTGGGGACATCTGGGGGACATCTGGGTGACACCTGGGGACACCTGGGGACATCTGGGGACACCTGGGGACATCTGGGTCACACCTGGGGACACCTGGGGACATCTGGGGACACCTGGGGACATCTTGGGGACATCTGGGGACACCTGGGGACATCTGGGGACACCTGGGTCACACCTGGGGACACCTGGGGACATCTGGGGACATCTGGGGACATCTGGGTCACCCCAAAACCCACAGGGACAGGAGCCCTGGGGACACCAATGTCACCCGGGTCACACCCAGGTGTCACCCCCAGGGGCTTTTGGGGGGCTGGCTCCGCCCCTGGGGGATGTTGCGAGTCAGGGGGGGTTTTAGGGGGTTTTGGGGGGGGTTGTTTTGGGCTCTCACCTCGTACACCAGCCCGTCCCCCGACACGGTGACGATGCCGTCCCACTGCTCCAGGCTCAGCCCTGACACCAATTCCTTGGCGTGGTTCGGCCTCTCTGGGGAGGGGGACAGTCAGGGACCCCAGGACACCCAACCCCCAGGACACCCCAACCCCACCCAGTGACCCCAAACCCCCAGTGACCCCCCAGAACGAGCGGTGTGGCTGAGGTTGAAGGTGGGGGCAGCCTCACAGCCCACAGGCAGGTTGGGACCCTAGAGCCCCCCCCAGAGACCCCCAAAGCCCCCAGTGACCCCCAGAGCCCCCTGACCGGTCTGGGACGAGGTTGAAGCTGATGCCGGCCTCGCAGATCATGGGCAGGACGTGGCTCTGGCATAGCCGCAGGGCCCTCCGCGCCCCCGAGCGGGTTGAGCAGCAGGAGGGGCGCCGGCGCCGCGGCTCGGGGGGCAGGGCTGGGGAAGACCTAAAATGGGGGGGTCAGGGCTGGGGACCCCTCCCCAGGGCAGCAAGCAGCCCTCCGAAATCCAGCCCTGGAGGCACCTCCGAGACACCACCCCCACCCGGGGCACTGGGGAGGGTTCGGACCTCCCAAATCCCCATCCCAGAGACCCCCAGCACAGGGACCCCCAGATCCCCATCCCAGAGACCCCCAACACAGGGACCCAGATCGCCATCCCAGAGATCCCCCAGCACAGGGACCCCCAAATCCCCATCCCAGAGACCCCCAGCACAGGGACCCCAGATCACCATCCTGATCCACCCCAGCACAGGGACCCCCAGATCTCCATCCCGAGGCCACCCCCAGCAGGGACCCCCAAATCCCCATCCCAGAGATCCCCGCAATACAGGGACCCCAGATCCCCCCATCACAGGGACCCCCCAAAATCCTCGAGTCCCAATTCTGGGGACCCATCCTGTGTTCAGAGCCCCCCTCACCTCAAATCCCCAGGGTCTCACCCCAGAGACCCCCTGGTTACCCCAGACCCCTCCAGAGTCCCCCTTTCAGAGACCTCTCCCCAAAATTCCCAGCCCCGTTCCCCTTAACCCCAAATAACCCCTCCCCAAATAACCCCTCCCCAGGCCCCCTCCCAAATAACCCCTCCACAAATAACCCCTCCCCAAATAACCCCTCCCAGGCCCCCCTCCCCAAATAGCCCCTCCCCAAATAACCCCTCCCCAGGCCCCTCCCCAAATAGCCTCTCCCAGGCCCCCTCCCCAGGCCCTCCCCAAATAACCCCTCCCAGGCCCCCTCCCTCGCTCACCGTTCCGGGGGGGGGTCTCGCCCCTCGCCAGGCACCGGATGACCCTCGCCCACCTCTCGGCCGTCTCTCGGTTGCCCTCGTAGTCGGGGGCGGCGTCGGCTCGGAAGGTGGGGGCTCTCCTTCGGCAGGACCCCGGCCGCCCTCCCCCGCAGGGCCGTGCGCAGGCACACGGCGAAGAAAGGCGGCGCGGGGCAGGGCCGGGGCCCGCAGCGTGTGGCAGCCCACGACGTGCTCCAGCAGCACGGGGGGCTCGGCGGGACCCCCGCCCAGGATCTGCAGCTCCGTGCGCGTCAGGCGGAGCCGGTACCAGGGACCCCGCCCGGAGCACGGGGGCCCCAGGCTCCCCCTCGCAGCGGCTCCTCCGGGGCTGCCATGGCGGGATGGGGGGTGGGGGGTCAGGGGGGACCCTCCCCAAATTCCGGTGACCCCCCCTTTGTCCCCCCCTTTGTCCCCCCCTTTGTCCCCACCGGCTCCGCCGTCTCCCCTCAGGCCGCCCTGACCTCCCGACCCGGAAGTTCTGGCGCGGCCCCCGCGGCGCAGCCAATGGGAACGCTCGCTCCGCCCCCTCCGCGCGGCCGCCATCTTTGCTGAGGGCGGCGCCGCCGCTGCGGGGAACGGCGGGGAGGGCGCGGCGGCGCCATCTTTGCTGAGGGCGGTTCTGGGGGGAGCCGTCGCCATGGAAACGCCTCCCCGAGGGGCGGGGCTGGGCTGGCACGGCGTGACTGACAGCTCGGACAGCCAATTGGAGGCTCAGTGTCCCTCCACGTCCCTCCTGTCCCATTGTGCCTTCCAGTGTCCCCCATTGTCCCTCCAATGTCCCCCAATGTCCCTCCAATGTCCCCCATTCTCCCTCCGCGTCCCCCCCGTGTCATCCTCCCTCTCTTGGAGGACCCCGCTCTGCCCCCGCCCTCAGGAAAACATGGCGGCCCCCACGCGGCCGCTCTGGCTCTCTGTTCTCCTCTCCCCGAGCTCCCATTGGCCGGTGCCGCCCTCACCGTGCCTTTCTATTGGGTGTTTAGCGCCGGTGGGCGGGGCCGTCCCGGCCGGGCTATATAAGGCAGCCACGCCGGTCGCGGCCTTCTTTCCGTCGCCGCGGCCGCCGCGGAGCTGAGGTGCGGGCGGGGGGGGCCACGCGGGGCCACGCGGTTTGTGGGGTCCTCCCGGGGGTTCTCGTGCCCCCCCGAGCCCCCTTTGGCCCCCCCGAGACCCCCGGGGCGGGCGGGGAGGGTGCCCGAGGTCACCCGCGGCCTGTACGGGATGCGCGCATGCGCAGAGTGCGACACGTGGGGGATTGGGGGGGGCTCGTTTGGGGGTCCCGGGAGGGTCTTGGGGGGTCTCTGAGGCCTGAAGGAGGCTCGGCGGAGGGTTGGGGGTAATCTGGAGCCCAACGGAGTGTTGGGGGATCCCAGATCGCGACATCTCCCCGTCAGCGTTTTGGGGGTCCCATCCATCACATCATCCCAATAAAGGGGTGATCGGGACCCCCCAGAACCCCTGGGGATCCCCATTGATGCCCTCAGAGCCCCTCACGCTCTCTTCCAAAATAACGACCCCCCCCTTGCCCAGGGGAACGCCCCAAATCCGCCCGAGGGCTCACCCAACCCCCCCCCAGGGACCCCTAAACCCCTTGGCACCCCTTAAAATCCCCCTTTTAGCGGTTTCGATCGGGGGTCCTAGGTTTGGGTTCCCCGTTTGGGGGATCCCTGGGATCGCGGGTGTATTTTGGGGAGGGGTCTGACCCGCCGTGTCCCCTCCCCTCCCAGCCCCCACCATGCCCGTGGCCCGGAGCTGGGTGTGCAGGAAAACCTACGTGACCCCCCGCAGACCCTTCGAGAAGTCCCGGCTCGACCAGGAGCTGAAGCTCATCGGTGAGTTCAGGGGGGCATTGAGGGGGCCGGGGGGGTTTTTTTGGGACCCCCCCTGACCCCCAATGTCCCCCCCAGGTGAGTATGGGCTGCGGAACAAGCGGGAGGTGTGGAGGGTGAAGTTCACCCTGGCCAAGATCCGCAAGGCCGCGCGGGAGCTGCTCACGCTGGACGAGAAGGACCCGCGGCGCCTCTTCGAGGGTGAGCCTGGGGGGGTCTCACCCCCAAAAATGCCCCCCGTGTGCCCCCCTGTCCCTGCCACCTATCACTCCTCTCCTGTTTTTATTCAGCTGCTTTTCCCCTCCCATTTACCCTCTATTTTTCCTGAGGTTTTTTATTGTGTTTTTCTTTTTTTTATTCTTTTTTTTTTCTGTTTCTTATATTTTCTATTTTTAGCGTGTATTTCTGTCATTTTTTTTCTCAGTTTTTGGTTTCTTTGTGTGTTTTGGGTTTTTTTCTCTTTGGTTTTTTCCCCTCCCTTTTCCCTCCCTTTTTCTTTCCTTCTCTTCTTCTCTCTTCTCTTTTTTTCTCCTTTTTTCGTCTCCACGCTTTCCCCTTCTCATCTCCCCCCTTTGCCCCTTCTTTGCTGCCTTTTCTCCCCCCGTTTGTCTGATTTTCTTCCCATTTTTCACCATTTTCCCCCATTTTCCCTCTGTTTTGCCCTATTTTTTCCCATTTTCCCCCTGTTTTTCCCTGTTTTACCCCATTTTCTCCCCGTTTTTTGCCGTTTCCCCCCCCGTTTTTCACCGTTTTCCCCCATTCTCACCTCCGTTTCCCGGCGCAGGGAACGCGCTGCTGCGGCGCCTGGTGCGGATCGGGGTGCTGGACGAGGGGAAGATGAAGCTGGATTACATCCTGGGGCTGAAGATCGAGGATTTCCTGGAGCGCCGCCTGCAGACCCAGGTCTTCAAGCTGGGCCTGGCCAAGTCCATCCACCACGCCCGGGTGCTGATCCGGCAGCGCCACATCCGGTGGGTGCCCCCCGGGACCCCCAGGGACCCCCCGGGGCGGGGGGAGCTCGGCAAGAGTCACTGCGGCCCCGCCGTACACCTTGCGAAGGGGCCGGCACCAGGTAACCCCCCCCGTGAATGTGGGGGGCTGAGAGACCCCCCCTGTTAAATCTGGGGGGCTGAAACACTGAGAGACCCCCCCTGTTAAATCTGGGGGGCTGAGAGACCCCCCCCGGTGAATGTGGGGGGCTGAGAGACCCCTCCCCAATTGAATTTGGGGGGCTGAGAGACCCCCCCCAATTGAATTTGGGGGGCTGAGAGACCTCCCCCGGTGAATCTGGGGGGCTGAGACACTGAGAGACCCCCCCGTTAAATCTGGGGGGCTGAGAGACCCCCCTGGTGAATTTGGGGGGCTGAGAGACCCCCCCCGGTGAATTTGGGGGGATGAGAGACCCCCCCTGTTAAATCTGGGGGTCTGAGAGACCCCCTCTGGTGAATTTGGGGGGCTGAGAGACCCCCCCTGTTAAATCTGGGGGACTGAGAGGCTGAGAGATCCCTCCTCAATTGAATTTGGGGGGCTGAGACACTGAGACCTCCCCATGTTGAATTTGGGAGGCTGAAACACAGAGAGACCCCCCCAATTGAATTTGGGGGGCTGAGACACTAAGAGACCCCCCCTGTTAAATTTGGGGGGGGCTCAGGCACTGACAGACCCCTCCCCATTAATTCGGGGGGTCCCTGTCCACTCTGCACCCCCACAATGAGCTCCCACCCCCCCCTTTTTCTATCCCCCTTTCCCCACCCGGGGTGGGCTCAGGATGCCCCGGGGTTTGGGGGGGGGGAGTTCCCAAAGGTGCCGATTTTCACAGTTCTGACCCCCCCAATTTTTGTGGCCCCCCTCCCCAAATTCAGGGTGAGGAAGCAGGTGGTGAACATCCCGTCGTTCATCGTGCGCCTGGACTCCCAGAAGCACATCGACTTCTCCCTGCGCTCCCCGTGCGGGGGGGGCCGGCCCGGCCGCGTCAAGAGGAAGAACGCCAAGAAGGGGCAGGGGGGGCCGGGGAGGCGAGGACGAGGAGGAGGATTGAGGACCCCCAGCCCAAAAGCGGAGCCCCCGGAGCGGGGCGCCCCGAGTGAGTCCTGTGGGAGTGGAAGGGGGTTTTTGGTGGAGGGGGGTTAATGGGAAATTTGGGCAGATTTGAGGGGGGAGTTTGGGGGAGAGTTTATGGGGCGGCCCCCATGATGGCAGCACTGGGCTCTGAACCCCCTGACAGACGCCTGTGCCCCCAGGGACTTTTGACACCCCGGGAGTCTGAGAGGCCCTCAAGAGGGTTTTTGGGGGGAGGCTCTGGGGAGGGTTTTGAGGAGGGTCCCCCCTAACCCACCTTTCCCTTCTCTTCAGGTTCCAGTGCTTGGATGTGGGGGGGCCCTGGGGGGGCCCAGCGATAAATGGAGTTGTTTCAACAATAAATGGAGTTGTTTCAACAATAAATGGAGTTGTTTCAACAATAAATGGAGTTGTTTCAACAATAAATGGCTTTTCTGTGTGGTGTTTTTTAGGAAGGGGAGGAGGAGGAGGCAGGAGCTCGAGTTTCTCAGGGTTTGGGGTTTTTTTGGGAGGGTTTGGGGTCTCCAGAGTCAGCAATGGGTGGGGGAGGGGATGCACTCAGACCTGAGGGGTCCACGTGCCTTTTTTTGGGGGTGGGGGAGAGGATTTGTGCCAACAGAGCTCTATAAAATAAATTTATAAATAAAAAAAGTCCCGTATGTGTTCCTGCCCCTCCCCCACTGAGGCCAGGGCACGGTTTTGTCCTTTTTTTAATTATTTTTCACTTTCTCTTTTTTTTTTTTTTTTTGCAAAAATACTCAGGGGAGGAGGAAGGGGGGGTTGGCGGTGGGCGGGGCACGAGGAGGCCCCGCCTCTCCATCCATTGGAGGAACAGCACATGATTGGCATGCAGGGGGCGGGGCCGGCGTGCAGTGGCCCCGCCTTGTTTGAGGAGAAAGGGGCGGGGCCTCGGCAATGGGTGGGGCCTGACAGCAGCAAGGCCACGCCCCGATTTACAGTTCGGCCACGCCCCCTTTGGCAACGCCCACACAGTGCAATGAACGGCCACGCCCACCGCAGGCTTGGCCACGCCCCCACATCGACTCCACCCCCTTTAGCACTCTGGCCCCGCCTCCAGCGGGGTTTGGCCACGCCTACATTCGCATTGGCCCCGCCCACACATGAATTGGCCCCTGTGGCTCCACCCACTCCCTGCTTGCCCCACCCCCAGCGCGTTTGGCTCCGCCCCCCGTAGGGCGTGGTTTGGGGAGGGGGTTGTTTAGCAGCTTTGGGAGGGGCTCATTTGGGGCAGGGTCCCGTTGTGGGTCAGACCCCATGGGGGCTCGGGGAGTCTCTGAGGGTCCCGTGGGGGGTCCTGGATCCCTCTGGGGGTCCCCTCGGGGTGGGGAGTCACTTGGACAGTTTGCTGATGACCCGGATCAGGCGCGTTCTCGTCCTTGAGCCGCTGGTTGTCGGCCGGAGATCCGACAGAGCCTGGGGGAAAGGGGGTGGTGGTGAATTTTGGGGGTCAATTTGGGGGTCAGTTGGGATTTAGGGGCCCCCCTTTTGGGAGTTCACCTTCCCAGCTCCTCCTCCAGTTCAGCCGCCTTCAGCTCCAGCGCCCGGCGCTCCTGGGGGCCAGATGGGAGTTGGGGGGGGGCACAGGGGGCACAGGGGGATTTTTGGGGGTTCCTCCCCCTCCCCCTCCCACACTCACGAATCTCTCCAGCTCCAGCCGGGCGGGCGCTCCGCGCTGCGCTCCTGGCGCTGGGGGGCACAGAGATGGGGGGCTCAGGGGTCCCAGGGCTGGGGGGGCACTCAGGACATCCCCTGAGCCCCTCCTGGAGGGACACACTCAGGACACCCCCTGGGCCCCTCTGGGGGGGACACACTCAGGACACCCCTGAGCCCCCATCCCCTCACCTGGGTGACCCTCTCGAGCTCCAGCCGGGTCTGGGTCAGCGCCAGCTCCAGCCTCCTGCAGCTGCTCCCGAATCCGCTCGTTCTCCACCCAAAGCTCCTGGAACAGCTGTGTTTGGGGGAGATGGAGGGTCTCAAATTGAGCCCCACGACCCCAAATTCCCCCTCCCCACCCCAGGACTCACCTGCTGGTAGTCGAAGGCGGGGGGCTGGGGGGGCCGGGGGAGTCGCAGCCCATTGGGGGGCTGGGGCGGCTGAGGAGGGAGGAGGCAGGGGGGGTGAGGGGGCTGTGACCCCTCCCAGACCCTAACACCCCCCCAGCCCCCAATACCTTTGTGGGGGAGGGGTGTCCTGGGGTCCGTTGGTCTCTGAGCCCCGGGGGGGCACCCACCTTTGTTCACCTGCACGGGGGGTCGGGGGGGCCCGGGACCCGGGGGGTCCTGGGAGGGGAGGGGGTCAGAAGGGAGTGACCCCCAGCACCCCCAAACCCCCTCCAAGCACCACAGACACCCCAAAAAAACCCCAGAGCCCACCAGGAACCCCCAGGACCCACCGGACCCCAAATCCCCTTAAAGCCCCAAGACCCCCAGAACCCCAGAAACCCCCAAAGCCCCCAAACGCCCCCAGACTCACCGCCGGGTCCCGCCTCCCCTCGTCTCTGATTGGCTGCTCAGGGGCCCTGCCCCTCCCGGCACGGCCAATCACCTGCTCCGCTGCCTTCAGCTCCGTCAGGGTCACGCCCTGGGGGTCACGGGGGGGTCACGGGGGGTTTTGGGAGGGCTTTAGAGGGGGTATTTAGGGGTTTTGGGGGTTTTGGGGAGTCTCCGAGGGCGTTTGGGTCTCAGGGGGTCCCACCTGTGTCGCCCCTCGGGCCTGGCGCATGAGGCGGCTCGGGCCTTGCGCTGCGACTCGACTCCTCATCCCGGGCCGGGGCTGGAACGGCCTGGGGGGGCTCAGGGAGGGGCCTCGGGGGGTTGGGACCCTCCTGGGGTGGGGAGGGGTCCAGGAGCCCCGTTCAGGGGGTGTTTTGGGGAGGAGGGGGCCTCACCCACGCGGCCGGGCGGCTCCGGGGTCCCGGGGGCTCCGGGTTCGGCGCTGGGGGCTGTGGGGGAGGGGCGGAGTGTCACCCACCTCCCCTCCCCACCCTCCTCACCGTTCGCCCCTCCCCCACGCTCGGACTCACCTGGTGGGGCGCTGGGGGGAGGGGCACGGAGAGAACTCCAGAAACCTGAAGGGGGTTGGGAAAATGGGGGGGTCAGGAGGGTCCTCAGGCCACGCCTCCTCCTGGGCCACGCCTATTTGTGGAGTGGAGCCTCTGGGAGGGGGTGTGGCCTTTGGGAAAGGGGGCGTGGTTTCCACTCACGGTGGGCGGGGCCTGCAGGCGCAGGGAGGCGGCAGGCGGCGCACGGGGGGCGTGGCCTTGGCGGGGGCGTGGCCTCGGAGGGAGTGGGCAAGGCCCCCAAGCTGCCCGACCTGCAGAGACCCCGGGGGGCTGGGGGTGGGTGGGGGAAGCGCATTGGAGGGCGGAGCCACCAAGAGGACCACCCTTGCCCATAGAAGGAGGGGAGGGGCGTGGCCTTACCCCAAGTGCAGGGGAGGGGCCATTGAGGGTGTGGTTTTTGGCTGGGCGGTGCTGCAGGGGGATCTGGGGAGGGAGGGTCTGCACTGGGACACCCCCAGAGAGTGCCGTGACGCCCCAAAGCCCCTCCAGAAATCCCCAACAACTCCCTTGGAGACCCCCAGGAAACCCATCCCCCCTCCCCAAAAACCACCCAGACCCCCCCAAACATCACCCTGAGGCCCCCAGGTCCCCCTCAGCCCCCTCAAATCCCCCAAACCACTCAGAGAGCCCCCTCCCACCCCACCCGGGTCCCCAGACCTCGCCCAAAAAGCCCTCCCCCTGCACCCATTTGGGGGCTCACCCTGCAGGGGGCTCCCCGTCGCTGTCCCCCTCGTCGGGGTTGTCCCCCTCCCCGGGGGTGCCAGGGGCGGAGGCAGCCCCGACCCCACCCTCTCCTTGGCCTGGTCCTGCACCGAGGCTTCTCCCGGGAGCTGCGGCGGCTCACGGAGCTCCTGGGGGGGAAAGGAGGGGTCAGGGGGTCCTGGGAGGACTCTGGGGGTCCTGGAGGGGGTTTGGGGGTCTCACTCGGTGCTTGCCCCCAGCAGGCTGGGGGCTCCGTCAGGGTCCGGCGGGGAGGGGCCCCAGGGTCCTCTGGCTGCGCAGCTTTTTGGGAGGGGGAAATGAGGGGTCAGGACCCCCCTCCCCCAGGGAAGGTTGGGAGTCCTGGGAGGTGGGTCTGGGGGCTCACGTGGTGCTGGCGCCGCTGCAGCTCCTCCAGCAGGGAAGGTCTCCTCGTCCGCTCGGGTCGCAGGGCGCTGACCCTGGGTAAGGTGGGGGGAGGGGGAAAGGTGAGGTTGGGGACCCCAGAGACCCCAGCCCACCCTCAGCCCTGACCCCCCAGCCCAACCTCAAAACCCCTCAAAACCCCCTGAGACCCCCTAAAACCCCCTCCTGGCCCCCTGGGACCACCCCCCACAGCAGGACCCACCCACCTGACCACCCTGGGACCTTCCAGCCCCCCTCACCACGTTGTTCCTGGGGGCTGGGGGTGACAAGATCCCCCAGAGCCCCCAGAGCCCCTCACCACGTTGTTCCTGGGGGCTGGACCTGGCTCAGTGACCCCCCAGAGCCCCCATAGCCCCCTCACCACGTTGTTCCTGGGGGCAGGAGCTGACCAGGACCCCCAGAGCCCCAGCCCCCTCACCACGTTGTTCCGGGGGCTGGAGCTGACAGGACCCCCAGAGCCCCCAGAACCCCTCACCACGTTGTTCCTGGGGGCTGAAATGACCAGGATCTGACCAGGACTCCCCAGAGCCCCAGAGCCCCCAGCCCCCCCTCACCACATTGTTCTGGGGGCTGGAGCTGATCAGACCCCCAGAGCTCCCAGCCCCCTCACCACATTGTTTCAGGGGCTGGGGTGACTCAGGACCCAGAGCCCCATAGCCCCCTCACCACGTTGTTCTGGGGGCTGGACCTGGCTCAGGACCCCAGAGCCCCCATAGCCCCCTCACCACGTTGTTCCTGGGGCTGGAGGTGATCTCAGGAGACTGACCAGGACCCCCAGAGCCCCAGCCCCCTCACCATTGTTCTGGGGGCTGGAGCTGACTCAGGACCCCCCAGAGCCCCAGCCCCCTCACCACGTTGTTCCTGGGGGCTGGAGCTGACTCAGGATCCCCAGAGCCCCCATGGCCCCCTCACCCACGTTGTTCCGGGGGCTGGGCTGACCAGGAGCTGACCACGGCCCCAGAGCCCCCAGGCTAGCCCCTCACCACGTTGTTCCGGGGGCTGGAGCTGACTCAGGAGCTGACCAGGACCCCCCAGAGCCCCAGCCCCCTCACCACGTTGTTCGGGGCTGGAGCCTTCAGGATCCCAGACCCCATAGCCCCCTCACCACGTTGTTCCTGGGAGGCTGGACTGACCAGAGACCCCCTAGAGCCCCATAGCCCCTCACCACGTTGTTCCTGGGGGCTGGAAGTGACCAGGACCCCCAGAGCCCCCATAGCCCCTCACCACGTTGTTCCAGGGGCTGGAGCTGATCAGGACCCCCAGAGCCCCAGAGCCCCATCCCCCTCACCACGTTGTTCCTGGGGGGCCTGAAGGTGACCAAGACCCCCAGAGCCCCATAGCCCCTCACCACTGTTGTTCCAGGGGCTGGGCTGGCCAGAGACCCCAGAGCCCCAGAGCCCCAGAGCCCCTCACCACGTTGTTCCTGGGGGCCATGTCGCCTGGAGTGCTCGGCCAGCAGCCGACGGGCCTCCTCCACCCCCGTGCGCCGCCGCGTGCAGGGGGTCCACCCGATCCTTGTCCCGCACGTCGGGGTCGTACCCGGCCGCCAGCAGCAGCCTGAGGGTCCCGAAATGTGGGAGCCCCTCGGATGGGAGGACACCCCCCTTCCTCCTGGCCCCTATTTGGGAGGAAGGGTTGGAGGTCTTCCAATCCCCTCCGCCCGCAAAACTCCTGGGACCCCCTGGAGAGGTCCCGGAGTTCCCCTCCCCAAACCCCACCCGAGGTTCTCCCCAGAGAACCCCAAAACCTTCTGGGTCAATCAGCCCCCCAGAGCCCCCAAATTCCCCACCCCAGATCTCACTTGACCTCGATGTAGCCCCTGGTAGCCCCCAAAATTCCCCCCAGACCTCATGACCTCGATGCCAGCCTTGCGCAGCCCCCAAAGTCCCCCTCCAGACCTCATGTTACCTCGATGTAGCCCATGGCAGCCCCCAAGCCCCTCAGACCTCATGACCTCAATGTAGGCCCTAGGTAGCCCCCAAAAATCCCCTCAGACCTCATAACCTCGAGTGCCTTAGCCCTTGGCCGCCCCCCAAAATTCCCCACCCCAGATCTCATGACCTCGATGTAGCCTAGGCCAGCCCCCAAACCCCCCAGGCCTCATGACCTCGATGCTTGGCCCTTGGCGGCCGCCACGGTGCAGAGCGCTGGCCCGGTGGCCGGGTAGAGGGCGAGTCTGCGGAGGCTGCCCGAGTCCCAGCCAGAGCCGCGTGCCACGCAGCATCCGCTCCTCCTCCGCGCGCTTAGCGGCCACGATGTCCCACGCCTGGGATTGGGGGGGGGGAGGGAGTCTGAGCCCACCCGTGGCAGCTGAACACGGCTCGTGGCACCTGAACACGGCCCGTGGCACCTGAGGCACGGCCCGCTTGCCGCTGGGCCACCTGCAGCTGCTTAAGCCCGCCCACATCCCCCAAACCCCACCGTCGCCCAAATCCCACCCCACATCCCCAAATCCCACCGCCCACCACCTAAGCCCCACCCCACATCCCCCAAATCCGCCCAACATCCCCAAGCCCCGCCCACATCCCACAAGCCCCTTCCCACATCCCCAAAGCCCCGCCTAACATCCCCAAGCCCCGCCCACATCCCCGAACCCCACCCACATCCCACCCCACAGCACCCAGACCCCACCCAGTGCCACCTAAGCCCACCGGCCCAAGCCCCACCCACATCCCCCAAACCCCACCCACATCCCCCAAGCCCCACCCCACATCCCCCAAACCGCCAACATCCCCAAATCCGCCAGCATCCCCCAAGCCCCACCCTTACCACCTAAGCCTACATCCCACCCACAGTGCCAGACCCGCCCACATCCCCCAAGCCCACCCCATCCCACCCACAACACCCAGACCCCGCCCACATCCCCCAAACCCCACCCACATCCCCCAAACCCCACCCAAATCCCACCCACAGCACCTCAGCCACCCAGCTTAAGCCCCACCCACATCCCCCAAATTCACCCACATCCCCCAAGCCCCACCCAAATCCACCCACAACACCCAGACCCACCCATACCACCTAAACCCCAGCCCAACAAGCCCCCACCCACATCCCCAAATCCCACCCACGCCACCTAAACCCCACCCACAACACCTAAGCCCCACCCCATACCTCAAATCTCACCCATATCCACAATCCTACCCATATCCCCAAATCTCACTCATGTCCCCAAATCCCACCCGTATGCTCCCTAAACCCCAAACCCATCCCCCAAAAATCCCACCTGCAGCCCCCAAAAATCCCACCAACAGCCCCAAAGATCCCACCTACAGCCCCCTAAGCCGCGCCACCACCCCCCCAGTCCCACCCACCTTCCCAATGCCCCGCCCACTCTCCCAGCCCCACCCATCTCTCTAATGCTCCGCCCATACTCTCCAAGCCCTGCCCACTTTCTCCAAGCCCCACCCACTCTCTCCAATGCCCCACCCTCTCCCCCAGCCCCGCCCACTGTCTCCCAGCCCCACCCACTCTCTCAAGCCCCACCCACTCTCCCCAATGACCCGCACCCTTCCCAAAGCCCCACCCAGTCTCTCTGATGCCCCACCCACTCTCTCCAATGCCCCGCCCACCCTCCCCAATGCCCCACCCACTCTCCCCAAGCCCCGCCCACCCCCGGCCCCGCCCACCCCTGCGCTCCAGCTCCGCCCTCAGCAGCTCCTCCAGCCCTTCGTCCTCGGCCACCTCCAGCGGCAGCTCCAGGTCGCTCGTCACGGCCGCCGCGTCCGCCCCGTGCTCCAGGAGGTACCTGTGGGGCCGGGGGGGCTCAGGGAGGGGTCACACCCCCCCCACACACCACAATCACCGCCCCCCAGGACCCCCCGGCCCCCTCACTGGGCGATGTGGCGGCAGCCGCAGGCGGCGGCCACGTGCAGGGGGGTCCAGCCCTCGTTGTCGGCCTGGTTGACGTCGGCCCCGCTCTCCACCAGGAACTGCACCACCTCCATGTTCTCGTCGATGCAGGCCTGGGGGACGCGGCCTGTCAGAGACACCCCCCGGGACCACCCAGGGACCACCCTGGGGACACCCAGAACACCCAAGGACCACCCAGAGACCCTCCTGGGGACACCCAGAACACCCAGGGACACCCAGAGACCCCCCTGGGGACACCCAGAGACCACCCTGGGGACACCCAGAACACACAGAGACCCCCCTGGGGACACCCAGACCACCCAGAGACCCTCCTGGGGACACCCAGAGACCACCCTGGGGACACCCAGAACACCCAGGGACACCCAGAGACCCCCATAGGGACACCCAGAACACACAGGGGACATCCAGAGACCCCCCTGGGGACACCCAGAACACACAGGGACCCCTCCAGGGACCCCGCAGGAGATGCCCTGGGATCCCTCCAGTGACCCCACCGGGGACCACCCAGAGACCCCCCCCCCCAAAACACAAACCAGGGACCCCCAAAGCTCCGCCCACTGAACCTCAAGCCCCACCCCTTTCCCCCCAATTCTTCTGTAGACCACGCCCCTCCATTTTCTGGTCACGCCCACTCGCTGCGAAGCCCCTCCCCGTCAGCCCGGGCCCCGCCCACGGACTCACGTGACCGCGCCCTCTCCAGACCCCGCCCACCTCAGGCCCCGCCCACCTGGTGCAGCGCGCTGATGCCGTCGGCGTTGGCCCCGCCCAGCAGCGCGCGCGCCCCGCGCGCACCATGGCGCGCGCCTCCGCCAGCTCCGCGCCTGCGCACACCGCTCGGAACTCGGCCGCGCGCTCGAAGCGGACCCGCGGGGGCCGCGGCGGCCCTGCCGGTACCGGAGGGTTCGCGGCCGCCGCCGCCGCCACCGCCTCCTCCCAGCGCCGCAGCTGCTCCGGCGCCGCTCCCGGGCCGCCGCCGCGCGCCGCCGCCGCCGCCGAGGCCGCCATGGCCGCGCCGGGGCCGCCGCCGGGAGGCGGAGGCCGGAAGCGCGGAGGCGGGGTCGCCATGGCAACGGCGGGGACGCGGCGGGAAGAGAAGGAAGGAGGCGGGGCCCGGATGTGAAGCGTTTTTATTGGTGCGCGCGGCGGAGGTGACGTCACGGGAGGGGCAGGGTCACTTCCAGCGCCCGCCCACGCGGCCCTTCCCGACCTTCTTGCTGCGGGAGGAGGGGGCGGGGGTGGGACCCCCGAAACAGCCCCCAAACAGCCCCCAAAAAGCCTCCAAACAGCCTCCCGGGACCCCCGAACAGCCCCCGGAACACCCCCCAGACAGCCTCCCGGGACCCCCGAAACATCGCCCAAAAATCTTCCCCAGGACCCCCAAAAACACCCCTGGGACCCCCCGAACAGCCCCCAAAAATCCCCCTCCCACACGACCTCCCAAAACACACCCCGGGACCCTCAAAGCGACCCCTCGGACCCCCTTCGGGGTCCCCCATCGCCTTCTGGGACCACCCAAATGGTCCCCGCCCCGATCTCCAAATCACCCCCAGGACCCCCTTAATGTCCCCCCAAACCTCTTCAATCCCCTCCTGACTCCCAATAACCCCCAGGACCCCCAAATTTCCCTCCCCAAATCCCTCCCTTACAATTTCTGGGCGTGGCTGATCCGGTTGTACAGGACGTTGATCTGGGTGGGACGGGGAGGGGGGGGCTAAGATGAGTCCGGGGGTCCCTAAATCTGGGACCCCAATTCTCCCCCTCAGGGTCACCCTCATTCCGGGGGGACCCCCGAAACCCCCCTCCCCTCCATTCCCAACCGCCTCAAGGGGAGATCCCCATTCCTGGATGGGGGGGATGCAGGAGCCCCAAAATGGGACAAACCAGGGAACAACGGGGGACCTTCAGGGCCCCGGGACCCCCAGAACGGATCTCAGGTGTGCCCCGTCGCTCCGTGAGGGTTCTGGGGGGGGGCCTCCAGCCCTTTGGGGACCCCCAAAACGAGCTCCTTGGGGACTCTCTTTCCCCCAACCCCCCACACCTCGTAGCGCTGCCGCCGCAGCTTCCATCAGGTCGAACTTCTCCGACTCCAGCTGGTGGATCCAGTCGTGCAGCCTCTTGGCCTTGGCCCTGGGTGGGGGTTGGAGGTCACCAGGTGGGCCTGGGGTCCTCGGTGGGGAGGGACGCAGGGGGTCCCCACCTGAGCTCATCCTCCCGCAGGTTCTCGATCTCCAGGGCCGCTTGCGCTCCGCCAGGATCCGCAGCTTCATCTCCCGCCCCGTCTGGCGGCGCCGCGGCGCTGCCGGCCTGGGGGCACGGGGGCACGGGGGCACCCGCTGCAGCCGCTATGGGGGCTACGGGGTGCCCTGGGCAGAGCTATGGGGCTATGGGAGTGCCCTGGGCAGGTTATGGGGGCTGTGGGTGCCCTGGGCAGGTTATGGGGGCTATGGGGTGCCTAGGCAGGTATGGGGGCTACAGGGTGCCCTGGGCAGCGTTATGGGGTTATGGGTGCCCTGGGCAGGTTATGGGGGCTATGGGGTCCCCTATGGGGGTACAGGGTCCCTGTGGGGATCCCTGGAGGCTAGGGGGCATGGATGTTATGGGGTTCCCCTGTGGGGATCCCTGTGGGGCTGCAGTGTGAGGTTGTATGGGGGTTCCCTATGGGGTGGGTCCCTGTGGGGATCCCTGTGAGGCTGCAGAGGGGGTTTATGGGAGTGGGTCCCTGTGGGGGATCCCTGTGAGGCTGCAGGGGGGATTTATGGGGTTCCCTGTGGAGCTGGGGGGTCCCTGGGGGTCTCTGTGGGGCGGGGTCTCTGGGTCAGGCCCCCACCTTGGCCAGGTACCCCCCGAAATGGGGCATGGCCGACAGGACCTTCTTCTTCTTGGCGTCATCCTCGGCCCTTTTCTTGGCCTCCTCCTCCTCCTTGCGCAGCTTCTCCTCCTGGAGGGGAGAGGGGGAGGAAATGAGGGGGTCCTGGAGGGGATTTTGGGGTCCCAAGGTGGGCTCTGGGGGGCTTTGGGGCCCCCCCTCACCGCCAGCCTCGCCTGCCTCTCCCGCTCCTTCTCCGTGCGGCTCCGGAGCTGCTCGTTCCGCTCGGCCCGGCGGCGCTCCTGGGGATGGGGGACAGGGGGTCCCAGGACACACAGAGACCCCGGGACCCTCGTGACCCCCGTGACCCCCCAAGACCCACGATCCTCTCCATGAGCCCCTTCAGCTCCTCCTCCTCGCGGCGCCGCTGCTCGAAGTGGGCGTCGATGAGGGTCTGCAGCTCCAGCAGGTCCTTCTCCATCCGCCTCCGATGGATGTCCTGGGGGGCAGGGGGTCACAGACCCCCAGGGCCCACCCCACAATCCCCCCAGCCCCATAGAAACACCCCCAGCCCTCAGTAACTCCCCCCAGCCCCATAGAAACACCCCACCCCAGTAACTCCTTCCCACGGCCCTTCTCCACCCCGCTTCCTCTGGGGGACACTGCACAGTGACTCCCTGGACCCCTCAACTTCCCCCAGGCCTCCCATGCCCCCCCAGCCCCACAGCAGCCCCCAGCCCCCTCCACTGATCCCTCAAGCCCTCCAGTGACTCCCTGACCCCCCTTACTCACATCGAAGTCCACGCGCTCCCCTCGGGATTTTGGGGGTGCCAGCTGGGACACCATGTGGCTGGACGGGGGGCCGGGAGTCAGGGGTCTTTGGGGGTGTGGGGGCAGAGCCTCTCCAAACCCCCCAAAACCCCTCCAACCCTCCTCCTCACCGGGGTCAGCCGTTCCTCCTCTGGGGGAGGGAAAAGAGGGGTCAGGGGGCTTGGGGGTCCTAGGGGTGCTGGGGGTCTCAGAGGGAGTCGTACCTGGCTCCTCCGGTGGTTTGGGGGCCTGGAGGCTGTGGGGGAAGAAGGGGGAGGGGCTCAGGGTCTGGGGACTCCTACGACCCCCTCCACAGTTTGGGGGATTTTGGGAGGGGCTCTCCCTCCCCACCCCACTCACCTTCCTCCTCCTCTTCCTCCTCCACCACTTCCTCTGGAAGGGGGTTGGGAGCAATATGGGGGCAGGGTCAGCCTCCCTCTCCCCCCAAACTCCCGTTGGTAATTAACCGGGATGTTAATGACCAATGCAGTAATTACGGTGAATTCGGTAATTACGGTAATCAACACGCCGGGACCCCCTCTCCCCCTTAAGCCTCCCCAGACTCCCCTCCGGTTAGTGCTAATTAACACTTCGGGTTAATTACCATTCCTAGGGATCCTTAGTAGGAGTTAATAAAGAATTAATTAACGGCTTGGGGCTTCATCAGGGTCCTGCGGGGTTAATTAAAAGGTCAGTTTGGGGCTGAGATTGGGGGCATTAATTAATCAGGGAGGGCCAATTGGGGTTAATTAACTAGGGTAATTAATTGGGGTCACATAGTCACCACCTCCTGCTGCTCCCTGTGGGGGAAGGAGAAGGGTGAGGGGGGCCCAGTGTGGGAACTGGGGGGTTCTGGGGTCCGGGGATGGTTTGGGGAGGGTTGAGGGGGTCCTAGGAGGGTTTGGAGGTCTGGGGGAGTTTGAGGGTCTGAGGGAAGGGTGGGGGTCCTGGGGGGCGGGGGCTTAGGGGTCACTGAGGGGGCTGGGGCTCACTCACTCAAACTCCTCCTCGGGCTCCGACATGGTGGCGGTTTGGGGGTCCTGGGGTGGGAGTGGGGGTCAGGGATGTCTGGGGGTGGGGGTCCACATCGACCCCCAAGACCCCCGATAACCACTCAGCCCCCCCATCGCCCCCGAGTCCCCCCAACACCCCAAGCCCCCCCACCGTTGGTTCGTCCCTGGGGTCTCCGTCTGCGCCGCCCCCCAAGCCTGGGGTCCCTTTATCGGGGGCCGCCCCTCCTCCCCGTGACGTCACCCCCATTGTTCCCCGAAATGAAATGTCGCGACATCCGACACCAACAGCTGTCGGGGGTGGGGGGCTGGGTCCCCAGGACCATTTTGGGTGAAAACAAAGGCCCGAGGGGGGTCGGGGGTCTATTCCGGGCGCTGACGTCACACCTGCCTCTCCCCGCACCTGTCGGGCCCCTTTGTGGACTCCCAAGGCGGGGAGGAAGGGTCACTCCCCAACACCCCCTGACACTGTTTTTGTTCCAAATTCCTTTATTCCGGTAGAAAACGAACCTTCGGGAACGCCCCAAAATCCTCCCCCCGCCCCCTCCCCAAAATTCAGCACCACAGAACGACCCCCAAACACCCCCACCTCGAGACCCCCCCAAAAATAAGGGTGGGGTGTCTCAGCTCCCCAAGTCCGGGGTCCGGCCCTTTGGGGAGGGGGTCTGAGCCCCAAAACTGGGGGTTTAATCCCCAGAGTTTGGGTCCAGCCCCCAAGGGGGATCGCAGCCCCCAAGTTCGGGTCTGGCCCCTAAATGTGGAGGGGGAGGGACTCAGCCCCCAGGGTGAGGGTCCAGGCTCCCAGGGGGTCTCAGCCCCCAAATCGGGTCCAGCCCTCGGGGGTGGGGGCCAGCTCAGGGCCTCGGGGGCAGCGTCAGGGCGAGCCCCCTGGGTCACTCACGAGCCGCAGGCGCGGGGCTCCCGGGCCCCTCCCCGGGTTTGGGGATGGCCCCCAGGCAGACGATGGGCAGAGGGACAGCTTGGGGTCGGGGTGTTGGTGTCGCAGGGAGGGGCCGGGGGCCGTTTTGGGGGCCGGGGTTGTGGGGACCCCAGGCAGACTCCTGGGGACCCCCGTGCGGAGGGGAGGCAGCCCCTCCCGCAGGACACGCAGTCGTGGAGGGCCACGCGGGCTGGGGAGCGCCTGGGGGTCTCGGCGGCGGGGGCCGCGGGGCGGCGGGGGGCGGCGGCGGGGGGCCGTCTGGGGGTCCCGCCCGCCCTCCTCGCCTCCTCCGCTGCAGCCGCACGTCCGTCTCCCGCAGCTCGTATTTGGGGGGGGGGTCCGCGGGGGGCCCCGAGAGCCTCCCCCGCTGCCGGAAGGCGCCTTCGCCACGTCTGGGGGAAAAGGGGGAGCGTGAGGGGAGACCCCAAAAGTCAGGGTTCCACTCTCAATTTTTGGGTCCCCCCCTTCAGGGTTCTAGAACCCCTCTTGCCCTCCCGCAGGATTTTGGGACCCATCCCCTTTGGGTTTGAGCCCTGGGTTTTGGGGTGTCCCCTCTGGATTTCAGGCCCCCCACCCCTGCCCAGGTGTGGGTGTCCCCCCCACCTCCAGCTTCCCTGTCCCTCCATTCTGGTTCCCCCTCAGGTTTTTGGGATTCCCCCAGGTTTGGGATCCCCTCTCCCAGTTTTTGGGGTCCTCCCAAAGTTTTGGGGTTTCCCCCCCCCCACCTTGAGGTTTCTCGGGTGCTCCCTAAGTTTTAGAACCTCACCCCAGTGGTTTTTGGAGTCCCACCCCAGTGGTTTTTGGGGTCCCCCCCCAGGAGATTTTTGGGGGTGCCCTGAGGGTTTTGGGGGTATTTTGGGTACCTCTCGCAGGTGCGGCACTCGCAGCCCCGGTTGCCCTCCCCGAAGAAGCCGTCCCCGTAGAAGCAGGTGATCTCTGTGCGGGGGGGGATGTCCCGCAGCGCCTGCACCCGAGCCCCGCCCGGGCCCGACACGAACTGCGCCCCAAAAACAGGGACCCCAAAAATGTGAGAGGACCTCTTCTCACCTCACGTTTCCCACCCTCTTCCACTTCTCAACGCTTTGTGCCCTTTTTCCCCCCCCTCACATCTCCCACCATTTTTCCCTCACATTTCTCACTGTTTTCCCCTCACGTTTCCCGCCATTTTTCTCTTTCATTTCCCACCATTTTCCCCTCACGTTTCCCGCCATTTTTCTCTTTCATTTCCCGCCATTTTCCTCTCACGTTTCCCGCCATTTTCCCTCACGCTTCCCGCCATTTTCCCTCACGTTTCCCGCCATTTTCCCTCGCTTTCCCGCCATTTTCCTCACGCTTCCCCGCCATTTCTCTCGCTTCCCGCCATTTTCCCTCACGCTTCCGCCATTTCCCTCACGCTTCCCGCCATTTTCCCTCGCGCTTCCCGCCATTTCCCTCGCGCTTCCCGCCATTTTCCTCACGCTTCCCGCCATTTCCCCTCACGCTTCCCGCCATTTTCCTCACGCTTCCTGCCCTTTCCCCTCACGTTTCCCGCCATTTTCCCTCACTTTTCCCGCCATTTCCCCTCACGTTTCCCGCCATTTTCCCCTCACGTTTCCCGCCATTTCCCCTCACGTTTCCCGCCATTTCCCCTCACATTTCCCGCCATTTTCCCCTCACATTTCCCGCCATTTTCCCCTCACGTTTCCCCCACTCTTTTCCCTTTATGTTTCCCACCATTTTCTCCTTTCTTTTCCCACCCTTTCTCCCTCACGTTCCCCACCATTCCCCCCTCTCTTTTCCCGCTCTTTTCCCTTCACGTTCCCCACCATTTTTCTCTCCCATTTCCTGCCAAAATCAGGGGGACCCCCCACCCCAAAACCTCCCTGACCTCACACAGGGACCTCCCCCAAATTCCCCTGTCCCTCCCTTCCCAGCCTCCCTGTGACACCCCCGCCCTCCCAAACCCATTGGGAGCCCCCAGCCCAACTCGACACCCCCAGAACTCACCCTGCAGTTCGGGCGACAATCTGGGTGGAAGGAAACACTTGTCAGTACCCACTCAGGGCCCCCCCAACACGTTTAGAGAGGTCCTGAGGACGCTCAGGGGGGGTTCCCAGGTGGGTTTTGGGGTGCTGGGGGCGGTTTTGGGGTCCCTGGGTGGGTTTGGAGCTCCAGGGCCAGCAGGGAGCTCTGGAAGCAGGGGGGGTTTTGGTGTTTTCCCTCTGGGTTTTTGGGGTCCCAGGGCAGGGGCAGGTTTTGGGGGGGTTCCTGAGGCACGTTTTAGGGGTTCAGGGAGATTTTTGGGGTGCCCCACCGTGGTTGATGAAGGCGGCTGGCCCCAGCCAGAGCTGGGTCCTCCTGCGGCGCGCCGAGTACATGAGGCTGAAGTCGTTGTCGCCCGCCCGCAGCAGCGCCCGGTCGGAGCCCCGGAGCTCGACTCCGCAGCCCCCCAGGAACTCCAGCATCTCGTGCTTCTTCCTGGGGCAGACAAAGGGGGCCACGGGGGTTTCTGAGGGGAGACGATGGATTTGGGGGAAATAAGGGTCCCCAGGGGTGTGGAGACCCACCAGGCGCGGGTGGAGACCACCCTGGCCCCGTTGGTGTCGCGGCTGTAGCGGGTGCAGCGCTGGATGCTGAACCCGCTCTCGGGCAGGAGCGCCCGCAGGTACTGGAACACCTGCAGGGGGCAAAAGAGGGGTCGGGACCTCCACAAATCCCCCCTGGGAGCCCCCTGACATGCCCTAAACCCCATTTCCACACCCCCCAGGGACCCCTGTGTGCCCCATAGACCTCCCTATGCCTCCCATGGGGACACCCCCTGGGCATCTCCCACCCTACAGCCCCCACAGGGACCCCTTATGGAACCTCCTGTGTATCCCACACCCCACTGCCCCCTCCCCAAACCCCATTTTTCCCCCTAAGGGCC